ACTCTTTCTGCACCCCTGCTTGCTTCCATGAAACCCTTCCGGCTGAGCCCCCGAGAGCGCCGTGACGCCAAAAGAGCCGCTGTGATGCAAAGGGGGCGAGTTGCCTTTTTCTCTTGCCACGGAAGTTATTGCCCACGAGCTTTGCTTTACATCGCGTGCGTTATTTAAACGTGGCGCATGAGTTTTTTTCTGCGCGGTGAATGTTTGCTGTGTTTGCATGACCTACCAACCTAGACTCTGCTGCAGGGTGACTTGAAGGAGGTTGGTGCTAGTAGCTTCCACCCCCCTAACTTCACAAGGGTGAATGGAAGGCAGCGGATGGACAGCGCCTCTTCTTCTGTTTCAGCGGGTGTGGTTGTCGCTTAGCACCTCTGTGAGCGATCGCGACAGGCAGTGGCAATAGGGCCGCCTTGCATTTTGAGGATGTCACGCTGTCTTGCCCTTACGCCGGCCAGCCTTTTACAAGCATTGTCCTTTGTTGGTGCGGGCGGCGGGCCTGACTGGAACGTATCGCTGCCCCTGCTCACCACTTTGGCAGAGCTGGGCGCTGGCGCACACACAGACACGCGCACGCACAGACAGGAAGACAGACAGACAGATAGACGGACGGACTGACACACAGACATACACACACATGCGCGCACACATATACAGGCACACATACTTACAAATTCTTTCGTTCGTGCATCCTCATTCCTTCCTTCTTTCCTTCCTTTCTTCCTTCCTTCCTTGCTGCCTTCCTTTCTACATTCACTCACTCACTCGCTCACTCATTCATTCAATCATTCATTCATTCATTCATTCATTCATCCATTCATCCATTCATTCATTCATTCATTCATTCATTCATTTCATCCATTCATTCATTCATTCATTCATTCATTTCGTTCATTCAATCATTCATTCATTCACTCATTCATTCGTTCCTTCAGTCTTTCATTCAAATTGTCATCGTTTCATTTCGGTTCATTATGATTCAATTTCGTTATGTTTTCATTTTCATTTCATTTCATTTCAGTTGAATTTCATTTCGCTTCTCACACACACATGCACACACACATGCGCACACACACAAACACACACACAAACACGCACACACACAAACACACACAAACACAAACACAAACACACACACAAACACACACACAAACACACACACACAAACACACACAAACACACACACAAACACACACACACACAAACACACACACACAAACACACACACAAACACACACACACAAACACACACACGAACACACACACAAACACACACACACACAAACACACACACAAACACACACAAACACACACAAACAAACACACACACACACACGTAGACACATACATACACGCGTGCATACACATACATACGTACGCACATGCACACACATACGTACATTCACACAGACACACACACACATACATACATACAGACATCCATACGTACACGCATACATACATACGTACACACACACACGCACGTACACACACACGCACACACACACATACGTAGACACATACATACATACAGACATACAGACATACAGACATACATACGTACGTACATACACACATACGTACATTCACACATACACACACATACATACATACATACAGACATACATACGTACACACATACAGACATACGTACACACATGCACACATACACACATACATACATACCTACAAACATCCATCCATCCATACATACATACATGCATACAGACATACACACACATACATACATACACACATAGAAACACACACATATGTATTTATAATATATATATATAGATATTTGTACACACACATACATGCGCAGTGAGGCTTTGCTGTGTTTGCCCTACCTACCAGCCTAGACCCTGCTGCAGGGCATCCATATTTTTCTGTCTTTCTTTCTTTCTGTCTGTCTGTCTTTCTTTCTTTCTTTCTTTCTTTCTTTCTTTCTTTCTTTCTTTCTTTCTTTTTTTGTATTTCTTTCTTTCTTTCTTTCTTTCTTTCTTTCTTTCTTTCTTTCTTTCTTTCTTTTTCTTTCTTTCTCTTTCTTTCTTTCTCTTTCTTTCTCTTTCTTTCGTTCAAGCTCAGCAGCTTGCGTGTGGAAAGCGCGTGAAGGGATTGCAAGCGCTGGCAGGAGGGGCGAGCACACACGAACACACAAACACACAAACACAGGCACACACACACGAACACACAAACACACAGACACAGACACAAACACACAAACACACACAAACACACACAAACACACACAAACAAACACACACACACACACGTAGACACATACATACACGCGTGCATACACATACATACGTACGTACATGCACACACATACGTACATTCACACAGACACACACACATACATACATACATACAGGCATCCATGCGTACACACATACATACATACGTACACACACACACGCACACACATACGTAGACACATGCATACATACAGACATACATACGTACGTACACACACACACATATACGTACATTCACACATACACATACATACATACATACAGACATACATACGTACACACATACAGACATACGTACACACATACACACATACACACATACATACATACCTACATACATACATCCATCCATACATACATACATACACATACACACATACATACATACACACATAGAAACACACACATATGTATTTATAATATATATATATAGATATTTGTACACACATACATGCGCAGTGAGGCTTTGCTGTGTTTGCCCTACCTACCAGCCTAGACCCTGCTGCAGGGCATCCATATTTTTTTCTTTCTTTCTTTCTTTCTTTCTTTCTGTCTCTCTGTCTGTCTTTCTTTTTTTTTCTTTCTTTCTTTCTTGCTTGCTTTCTTTCTTTCTTGCTTGCTTTCTTTCTTTTTCTTTCTACCTACTACCTACTACCTACTACCTACTATCTACTACCTACTACCTACTACCTACTACCTAGTACCTAGTACCTACTACCTACTACCTACCACCTACCACCTACTACCTACTACCTACTACCTACTACCTACTACCTACTGCCTACCACCTACAACCTACTAACTACTACCTACCACCTACTACCTGCTACCTACTACTACTACTACTACTACTACCACTACTACTTACTACTACTACTACTACTACTACCACTACTACTACCACTACTATTACTACTGCTACTACTACTACTACTACTACTACTATTACTACTACTACTACTACCTACTACTACTACTACTACTACTACCTACTACTACTTCTTCTACTACTACTACTACTGCTGCTACTACTACTACTACTGCTACTACTACTACTACTACTACTACTACTACTACTACTACTACTACTACTACTACTACTACTACTACTACTACTAACTACTACTACTACTACCACTACTACTACTACTACTACTACTACTACTACTACGACTACTACTACTACTACTACTACTACTACTACTACTACTACTACTACTACTACTACTACTACTACTACACTACTATCACTACTACTACTACTACTACGACTACTACTACTACTACTACCACTACTATCACTACTACAACTACCACTACTACTACTACTACTACTACTACTACTACTACTGCTACTACTACTACTACAGATTTTTTTTTTTTTTTGATCCTGAATTAATTTTTTTTTGATCCCTTAGCCCTGTTTGTGTGGCCGTGCTTGTGAACAGATCCCAGGGGTCCATATCACCTGTCGCAGCAGGATCAATGGTTGGATCCTGCCGCAAAGCCTGGGTGACCGAGAGGGAATTTCCGAAATGTGGCATTGCCATGTCTGCGTCTCAGAACAAGACTTTGCTTCTGGGATGCGAACGCATTCTCATCCGCACAGGCCGACCCCGCTCTAAAGAAAGGGATTTTGGCTCCTTGGCGGCAACTAGCCTTTTCCGGGTTGGGGAAGAACTCGCCCCTTCGGATCTGGGCACCGCGTGCCCAGGTCGAAGTGCTACCTTCCAAGCAACCCGTCAAAAAGGTGAGCGCCGGTGTCGATTGTCCTTTGTGGGGGGGTGTATAGGTTCAAGCTAGGAGCAGTGCGACTGACCTTTAACTTCTTGTTTTGACACTGCAGCGTATTCGGAGAGTTCACACCCCGTGTAAGTACCAAACGTACACTGGCCGAACACGCATGTTGGCTTGGGGGGGTGTATCCTCAGGCTGCACAGGATGCAGCATGCATGCAATCGAACACGCATGGTGGCTTATCTGCATCCCAGAGCCTGCAACTCTGAACAACACCAGGAAAAAGAAACTGCGAGCGCGTATGCATTTTCCTGGTTTCTTTTCCTTGCAGGTGTGCATTAAACTGAAAACAGTGAACAGGTTTCTACACGTCATATCCGCTTGCATTGCACGATTTATGCATGATGACATGCGATTTCTCATTCGGGTTTCCAAGTGTGGCAGTTGTCTGAACGAAGGAGTGGATGTGAATGCCATGTCTTGCAAAATCTGTTGACGCAAGAGGTGCAAAATGTGTGCCTTCCTGGAAAAATGATGTGCTTTGATCAAACAGAGGGGTCCAAAGCACAACAAAGCTGAGGATTCACATGCCCAAGCCTTTGGTTTGATCTATAAACGTGAAAGCCTTGCTTTGCCAGTCTGATGTAAACATACTGTTGGGCAAATGAGGTTAGTTCGTGTTTGGCATGCCGGTGATGATATAAGTGCAGGGTTTGCCCGTATCATTTTTTCATGTGGAATGACAGTTGTGAATGAGATTCTGGAACCAGCAGCCAGATGCACCTGGTCTTGTTTTTGGTGTTTTGCACATGTGAACTTTCGTGGCACTCTTAAACAGCACTCCGCACCACAGATTTTGGGCAAACATCCAAACGAAACAAAAGCGGTACTTTGGCAACAGATTGTGAAGACCCTGCAAAAAGCGTGTTGGGAAACTCAAAGTCAAGAGTTTGCAGAGCGGAAACAAAACCAAATTGCATTGTTGCAAGCACATGTCCATTTTCCAGAGCATTTTGGCTTTATTTGAAGTTGAGCCATCATCGTTTTCTGGTCGTTCAGACCTGGCCATTTTCAATTATGTCGCGGCCACTCCGGCTACTCCTTGGCCAGCTTTTCATGGTGTTGGCATTCAAGTTCGACTTGAACCACGATGGAGCGAAGAATAAGGGGCCAGACGGCTCCAGTGAGGAAGTGATGCCTCATTGGCACCCAGAATGCGGCAGTGAGAACCTGCCGCAGGAAACGATCGCACTGATTGAAGTGGAGGACGATCGCATTTTCTTTGTTTTTCCTTCTTTGTTTGACAGTGCCAAGGGAACGAGGTCTGTTCTGACTTCTGACGGCAGCTCTTCAGGAGCTTTCAACCACGCAAGCTGGAGAAAACCCACCACCGCCCGCGGGCTTTTCCGATGCTGTCAGCATTTACGAGGATGAACACATTTTGGAACTCAAGGCGCGCGAGAAAATCCTGACTGGCTCCAAGGATCCTTCTTGTTTTCTTGGATGGACCCTTTGATCTCGTTTGGCTCCCCGTGGTTTTGTTGATGGAGCCAAGAGCTACAAAAGTGTCGGCATTCTGACTCCGCTGACTCCGAAAAACTCCGGGCATACACTGGACACATGGGTGTTGCTGAAGATTGGGGACCTCTTTTGGTAGGGTTTTCTTCTGGGAAGCCAAAAGGAACACCCCGGAATTAGTTTGATAATTTTTCTCAAAATGGGCGGGCCGTCCCGGGTCTTTCCAGCAAGTGCACATACACTTACTTGAGTGAAGTTGGTACCCTTTTGCTGTTTCTCTTGGGAAGACAACGATAATCACGAAAATGTGGGTTTCGCCTGTGAAACCAGCCCATTTGGGAAGTGCCTCTTGGGCCTCTTGGGATTCCCGGCCTCCCATCTCCCCGCAGGCCGCGCCGGCATTGGTGCAACGGAGTTATCGGCGTCGCATCAGCCGACGCCGCGAATACAGCCTTTGCTTGGAAGGGTTTGAGAGAGGCTGCTTGACTTGATAGAATGTCGGAGAACCGTGAGGACTGTTAGGACTCCCCAGTCACTTGAGCCACAATCAAAACACGGGTAGATAAAGGTTAGTAAGGGGCAGTCCCAGCCGGAAATAGTTGCGGCGGCCTTCCAATTCTTGACATGGTTTCAGGTTCACCATTTTTGTACCGAATCGGTTTTGATTGTGGCTCATTTCCCTTTAGACAGGACCATCTTTTGTTTAAATCCCGACTTCGAGGCGGGAGGTGAGTTTGGTGCTCTCCGGAAGCAGGCAAATCAGCGGCACGCAACCCGTTTTGAGCTGATAGGGGGTTCCATATTTGACGCAAATATGTCGCAGCTGAGATGACTATGAGGAGTTCGTGTCAAAGGACTTGAAGCCGCGAGCGAGGGATAAAGGAGTCAAAGATGATCCGCCAGGCTTCAAGGATATTGCGGACTACTCATCCGAGGGTATTGGAGCGCGCATGTACGAAATCACCCTCGACCAAGTGGTCACTTCCGCATTTTTTGAGATGATGCAGTGGCAGTCGACCTCCGCACAGTTGTGGGTGAAAGCAGCCTGCGACTCCTCAGACATGAAGGCGAGCCTCTCCTGTCATGAAGTAAGTGCAGAGTTGATCGACGCATCTTCAGCCCGTCAATTCACAGAAGATGTTCTCATTGACGACTGCCAGCTCTTGTGGCAGACTCAGCCATTGACAGCAACTTACTTGTTGAAGAGTGACCTTTCAACCTTGGGTTTTCCTGATGGTCCATTCTGAGTCAAGATGCCAAAACATCAGTAGCATTCGTCGTTCATTTTCAGGCCTTCGTTTTTTTTTTTTTTGTAACAGTGAGGTAATGGAGGCCATGAAAGGCATGATGGATAGACCGAAGTTCTTGGAAACCAAGCTGAAGCAAGTCAAGCAGAACATGTGGTTCCGCACTCTATATCCCGTGGGGGCAAAGATCTGTGCCTTCTGTGCGTACACCAGCACCTGCAAAGCCACCAAGTGGAAGGAGGTGCACTACCAGAAGGTACAGGGAACGCCCTTTCCCACCAGGTGGGGGTTGATCAATATTTCTTGGCCGCAAATGACAATGGGCAACTTTGGGAAGTCCTGTTTTTGTTTGGGCTTCCTCTGGTCATCCCATGAGAACCCGTTGATCAACCAGGTTCCGGCTGGACCATGAGGCCTCCAAGCGGCGATGCCTGGCTCTTCCCGGTTGCGGCTTTGTCGCTTGCGACCGATCCTTGGGGAACTGCGAGCTTCATTTGAAGGACAGGCAGGTGCAAAGGGAACCCAGCATCCAACTGGGCTGCCACATGGGTGTCCCTTGTAAGTGGTAGTCCTTCAGTCCTTCATTTATGGAGGTGAGGGGTCTGCTCGCTATGAATCCGCAAGGTTTATTGTTTTGAAGGTTACACCATGGAAGAAAATGGGTAAACCCATCGGACATGGGTCTCCCAGGCCGTATCCCACTTCGAGACACAGCAAAAGGCCGTCCATGAATGGCTTTGGGCCCATTTGGGCCTGGCGAACTTCACCGTCATTTCTCCCACCAGTCGTGATATTTGGACGCGTAGGTTAACGTCGAGTTGTTTGTTTTTGTGTTTTTGTTGGACGTACCTTTCACTTGCCGCTTCAGGAGTCGCTTGACATGCTGCAACCAGGGGGGGACCGCACTTTGCTCATTCGCGAAGATCCTGATTATAGCGCTGTCAGTGCGGTTTCCAGCTCTGCCGAGCAAGATGCAGAGGCAGGCTGTCAGCGTCTCCTTTCCCCTTCTTGACCTGGCCTTTGGGACAGTTTAGGGGGCGTTTGCTTTTGGTGGGGCGAGAAATAAGGCATTCGTTGAAATGGTTTAAGATGTAAGAATCAAGCCAAGGAGCCACGCGCCAGGTGTCGAGAAGACGGGGACCACTTTCTTCTTTTGGCTGTTCGCGAATCGCGCATTGAAAAATCTACTCCTTGGAGGAGTCCCCGAGACCCGTCGCCAGGTGTTCTTGCAGAACATGTGCCCTTGGTTCATGGATGAGACGCTTTTCATCGAGAATGGCCAGGCAACCTTGCCCAATCCCTCATGCAAGGTGACGCGCGAGCATGAAGTCCTGGCGTGCTCCGAATTGCAGTCGTTGAGGAAAGAGGCATGTGCTGCAGGCCGGAATTGCGCACAGAGTTGTCCTGTCAGGAATGAAGAGTAAGTCACACCTGCGTTTCTTTGTTTTGGTCAGAGTTATTCTGCACCAATTGGTACTGAATGACGAACGGCTTACCAAGTGCAAGACAGCCGTCTCTCTAGGCTTGATGTTCACCGCGAACCAGAGGACCTTCACGATTGGGTTTTGGTTGGGGTGGGGGTTGGTGGGTAATTCAGCTCGCATATGTTTACTTTGCTTCACTGATTCCCATTCCCAAAACCTGGGGACCGGTGGAGTTCAATGGTTGCAATGGTACTATGATTGCCGCCTGTATCTTTCAGCCTTCACCAACTCATGTTGCAACCTAGCTCCCCGAGGAGAGACTTGGCTGTGTCGCAGATGCAGCAGGCCCATACCCGTGCGATCTCGCGGCGGGTGAGCCTTTTTGACCGCGCCTTGCAACCATAAGCGGGAGGCTGTGCATTTTGAAGGGTACCTTGCTTGGGTTTATTCGAGAAGGAAACCGAAGGACACCTGCCAATTTTGGAGGTTGCTTCGTCGTGAGGGGCTTGGGTCCCAAGTCATTTGCGCAACCTACGAGTCTTCATGAGCCTCTTTTTGGATGCGCGAGGGTGTCCTTCGTTTTCTTTGTTAACTGGCAAACAAGCTGTCTCTTTCTCTTTTTGCCCGGCGGATCAGTCTGGTGTGAATTCGCAAGCTGGGGCTCGGGATTCCCTGTGCCCCTTCAGAAGGTTTTTGCCCTCCGGGTGATCTTCGCAAGAGTGGTTGTGCCTTGAAACCAAATCTCTGTTTGTTCGGGTTCCCCTGTGTTATCCAGTCGGTAGGCTAGCTCTTTCCTGCTGCACGTTGACCCCGAAGGAACAAACCCGAGCGTATGAACAGGGTGCGGAGACGCATCACTTTTGCAGGGGAAGACCTCCATATTGAAACGTAGAGGATCAGCATGATTCGGGTTCAACATCAATCAGGCATCATGAAGATCGTGAACGTCGTGGCCGTGGTGGTCTCCGTCGCCATCTCCTTGGTCCCGGGCTTGCAAGCTGTGGGGGCCGCAGCTATGGGCGGGCTCAAGGCAGGGGAAACCAAACGGCCAAGGCAAATGTGGGTGAAACCTCTGAACAAAATATGGCTGTGGGTCAAAAATATGCTCTAAAAGTGCAACTCTGGTTAATGGAAACAAGGACTAAAACCTGCGGTTCCTGGTGGTGTATTTTTGACCCATACCCAGATGAATAGGACAGGGGGTTCAAACACAGAACCCGCCAACAGACTTGTGATCTTTCTTCATCATTTGTTGTTGTGTTTCATTTTCGAGCAGCCAATCGGGAGCCCTAAGAAGCACGGTTTGGTTTTCCTGACTAGAAACCACGAGTTGAAGCTTCGACCCCGCTTTAAAGGATGACCAAACGAGAGGAAGATTGAAACAGAAGCCGCGCTCAAAACCGTAGGTTGGGAACGGGCCCCAGAAGGTGCTTTCTAGCCGCCAGAAGAGTTTTACTGATTTGGCCATGGGTCAAAATCCCGTACCCCCAGTGAACATCCCAATCCCCACTAAAATAGACGAAAATGGGTGGTGCACCTACCCCCAAAATGGTACCATTGGTTTTGACCCACAGCCATTTGGGTAACGACTTCTTTCTCGCGATTGGTTTCGAGTACTCCGTGGGACCTAAGATTTCAAGAACCCCGACCTAAGATTTCAAGAACCTCCGGCCTGGGAGGCTCTGGCTGTGGCGGGCAAGTTCGCCAGCATGGCGAGCAAGGCAAGGTGTTGCAAGTTGTTTGTCGGCTCCTTCTGACAAGGGAAACAAAAAACATGTGGTCCGAAAGGGGCATCTTTGTTCGTCCAACCAACCCCTGACAGTGTGTTTCAAAATTAGCCGTGATTGCTTTTTGAAGCCCATTTCCTTTTAAGCGCGCCAGACTGGTAGAAACCTGTCAGTGTGATCTCGCTTTTATTGCGGTTCTGTTTGCGGGCTTTGTCAAACTACTTCTGGGATTCTCGCAAGTCCTGCTTCAAGGGAATGTTTCACCCAACTGCCACAGAGTACAGTTTTCTTAAGTGCGTGTAGCAACAGATGGTTGGTCAGTTCCAGATTCATGAAACAGGAGCGTTTACAAAGTGAGCTGTAAGCAGCTGGGTGCGCACAAGCAAATCAGCCGCTGGCAAATCGCGAGACACTGTGATGCACGGCTTTTCTGTCATGAATGCGGCGGCAAGCAACCCGCAAGTGTCCCTGCTATACTTTTTCTCAAATGCCATTGCTGATTGGCTCACTGCCATCAAATTCGTGCATTTGGCTCTGCCGCAGGGCCTTTTCCCGCCGCGCTAGATGGATTCGCTTTTGGTCAGTGCGAGGCCGTTACTTGGCGGTCGTCCGGGTCTTTTCTTGGTCTGTCGAACAAGAGCGACGCGCTTCCGCTCGTCGGCAATCTTTTGCTGCTCGGTTTGAGGGAGACGCCTGCCTTGTCGCAAGGGCGCTTGTCATGAGAACATCTAAAGGTTGCGTTCTGATGCAAACAAACTTGGAAGCGCTGGAGAGGAGGGCGGACATGGGTCTGGGAGGGCGTGGCGAGCTTGTTCGAGCGCCAACGATTCCCCCGAATGTCGACCTCCCTGCATGATGCAACAGCCAAAGTGGCGTCGCAGAGTGCCACCGTGTTTGCAAAAAGAGGCTGCTTGGCCGGTTTTGGGCGCCCCCCCCCCCCAAAAAAAAAAGAAAGGGAGTAAAACATATGTTAAAAGAAGCAAAATAAAGGTCATAACAAACAACAACATGAACAGCTCTATATCGTAATATTGCAAAACCAAAAACTGACAACAATCATAAACACAACAACGCAGCCCTTAAACTTACTTGACCCTAAATTGCCCTGAGATTCAAAACATAAAGCTTACAATTTAATTTTATTGTAATAATTATGATTTAGAAGTAAAAGTCATCCATTTCTTGAAATGCTTCTGCTAATTCATTTGTTTCACTTTAAGTATCACTGTTAGCACTTCATTTAACTTATCTGCTATTTCCATTCCAAAGATGATTATGATGTTCATCTTCATTTATATCAATACAATGTAGAATTTGAATGAATTTATTAAACAAGTCATTTAACTCATCATAGGCGTGTTCAATGTTTTCTCCATTCATATCCCACAAATACTTTGTAGTGTTTCTTTTCCAATGTTTCCATTGTTTCTCTTGTTTAGTGCTCCAATATAAGATTTGTAAAAGTTGGTGATGTCTGTTGCTCAAATTCTTTAATTTTGGTATTCGTCTGAACTCATTGAGTGTTGGTGAATTGTCATCACCCTTCAACTCAAAGTAATGTGCCAGTTTGATACTATGTAAATCAAAGATGTCTATCATTTCTTCACATCTTTCACACCTGCAATTGGCTGATATGTTTTTGATAATATCTAATGGTAATGATTTGGATGTCATTTGTAGGTTGTTTTAGCAGATTCCATATGGACATAGACGTTACAACAATTACACATAAAATCACTCAATGCTGATTGTTTTGCTTTGTCTAAATCTTCATAGGTATGATTTTATATACACTTACATCGCTTTCAGTATCACTCATGTTTCACTTACTATATTCAGTGAACATTTCTTTAAGTCATTTTCTGCAACTTATTCTATAATGACCATATGCTAAATATCTAATGTAGATGTCCAAAACCTTTGTTTTCATATGAATTCAGACTAATCTTGTTTGTCCTAATGCTATACATCTTACTTTTTTTGACCTAATACTATTGAATGACTTCTGTATTACTTCATTTGCTTGTATAACTACGTGCTTGGCTGTTCCCTTAAATGTCTTATGTTCTTTATCATCTTATTTTTTTTTTTGAAAGCGTAGCAGTTAGGGCGAAGACCAATAAATCCAGTAGTTATTTTACAACTGCATTCATCCTTAAACTTTCAAGAGCTTTTTATTAGTAGTATCATAGCATTTATGAGATTAATATCATTAAGGTCTTTGCACATGTCATCAGTTTTAATAATGAGGATGGAAGAAGAATTCCTCGGGATGAAGAAGAACGATTTAAATTGTTGAATGGTGATTTTGAGTATGCTAAACAGTTAAGTGAATATTTTTTCATTGGGTTGACGCAAAAAATAATATATTTTATGAAAGGTATACCTAATCCGGATAATTTGAACATTATGTTAAAATATGCAGACATTATAGGTGAAGAGGAATTAATACATATGATATATTCAAATGTTATGTTTTATACTTTAGTGCAACATGATATCTTTAGATAACGATTTTAACAAATAATTATTTAAGTGTATAATATATATATATATATATGTATACATGAGTGAAAGTGAGAGTTTTACCATAAACGGTTTACTGAAAAAGCTTACAATTATTAGTAAGAATGTTAACGCATTGTCAGAACTTGTTAAAACCATTGAACAAAAGTTAGATGTCAAAGCAGTTGAACCAAAAAAACAGCAATGAAGATAAGGAGAAGATGGGTAGGAATATTGAAAAGAAAGGGATAAGCAGACCTGAGGGCAGTTTTGAGGAAAACGTAAGAAATACTTTGATATGTTAATACGGGAAGAATCAACAGCCCAAAGGAACAAACGTTAGAATATTAGAATATTATTCAGGAAGGCAATAAATATGTATTTATGGCTAAATCATTCTAATCATATGAAAATACTAGAATTATTTAGTGGGACAGGTAGTGTGGGACATATTGCAAAGTCGCTCGGTTTTCATGTAACATCGTTGGATTTGAAAAATGCTGATACAAATACTGATATACTTGATTGGGGTTATAAATAGTTTGACAGAAACCATTTTGATTGTGTTTGGTCTTCACCCCGTTGCACTGAACACAGCAAACTATAGGAATAAGGAATATAGAACATGCTAATGCTATAGTGTTAAAAACGATTGAACTCATTATGTATTTCAATGTAAAATGTTATGTAATTGAAAGCCCACAGACTGCACTATTGACACATCAGGAGTTTATGAACGAGTTTGCCTTTAAGGATATAAAGCATTGCAAATATGGTTTTACTTATAGGAAACGAACTAGGCTGTGGACTAATATTACTAATTCGAAACCGAGACCGTTATGTAAAAAAAGACCGTGGTAAAATCAGGAATAATACATGTATAGAAACTTCCATCAGACACGAAGGGAAATTCGGGTGAGCATTATGTAAAAACATAAGCAGGAAGATGTTCATAGAATATCGAGTGCTTTAATTGTTGAAATTTTGGTGGGTTTGACGGATTAAGATTGGACATGCTGGGATTTAGATTTTCTGTGCTGGAATGTAGGTTTTTTGGGCTGGATTTTGGCTTGTTTGTTTAAGAACCGTTAGTGGTTTGTTTTAAAGCCAGTGGTGGTATCTTTTTAAACCAGCGGTGGTTGTTTTTAAACCAGTGGTGTTTTTTCAACCAGTGGTGGTTTGTTTTTAAACCAGTGGTTTTGTTTTCAACCATTGGTGGTTTGCTTTTTAACCAGTGGTGGTTTGTTTTTAAACCAGTGGTGGTTTGTTTTTAAACCAGTGGTGGTTTGTTTTCATCCCGGTGATGATAGTAGAATGGATTACTTTAAATGTCGGTGTTTGAAAGAAGCAGAGAGTCTTATGAAAGAACCATATTTTCATGATGATGGATTAGAAAAAGCAGAGGCTCAGTGACTGTTTTTCAGAAGTATGCTTAACAATGACATGATTCAACTGCTTTTACATCCTCATGATAGCAAAAGTTATAGAAACGCAGTAGATACATTATTCGATATAATGCAATAAACTCTTATTGCAAACATAGCAATCATGAAGTTAGTCTAATCTTACGAACATGTATCAAAGCTGAATGATTAAAGTTTATGAAACATAGGCTTTTAACTTTCCTAGCCTAAACAGTTGGTGGTCATATAGAAGCAGCAATTATTATATGAGATGGTTTGTGTTGTTTATGATTGATGTCAGTTTTTGTTTTTGTTATATTTATGATATATATATATATATTATGTTGCTGTTGGTTATGAATTTTAATTTTACTTCTTTCAACATATGTTTTACTACTTCCCTCCCCCCTCCTCTCCCCCCTCGCCCCCTCCCCAAAATCTCCCCCCATGCCCCCCCAAACCGCTTCTTGGTTTGGGCATGTTCAGGCGCTGAGCATGGCCTCGAAGGTCATGAAGGTGGTGGGCAAGGTTGGGAAGCTGGTGAGCAAGGCGCGAGCCTTCGCGAAGTCCATGCGAAGTGACTACAAAAAATTAAGACGTCGAGTTTGTTGGGATGCTTCGCTCTTGGCGCCGATGGGGTAAGGGATCTTTTCGCCATTCTTTCCCCAGGCTGTTTGGATTTTGTTTGGCAATCGCTCGAAACCCTTGGGTCCTGTCCCTTTTAGATTGGCTGCGACGGGACAGCCCCCAGAAGTTGCAGTTGGGAAGTTCCATTCGTGGTGTTCGCCAGGCTCCATCTTTTGCAGAAAAGGGGGTGTTTGACCAGACCGTTTTAGTGGCCGGGCTAAAATCCCTTGTGGTCCAGGTCAAGAGTTTGTAAAGATTGGGCCCGAACAGGACCAAACGTTGCAGGTCACGGGCAAACCAAGCCGACCTTTTTCTTCTTGGTGATGATGAAGGTTAGCGTAAGATGCTGGGTTTGCGCTTTTGGAGGGAACCAACATCATGAAACATGGGTTGCCCAGCGAGTGTGTTTGGTTTCATATCCTTGGTTTCTTGGTTGTTTTTCTTCCCCTACCTTCCCTTTGCAAGTTGGATCTGGGTTTGACGACTTGCAAGCCAAGCTGTTTTGAGCAGCCCGAGGTTTGGAACAAGGTGGGACCGACACTCAAGAAGGTGGCTCAGAAGGCGTCGCAGCACTTGAAGAAGGCGCTTAAGAAGTTGGACAAGTTCAAGGACTACGCGGAGAATGTGCAGGACTGGGCCAAGGACCCGGAAGCCAGGTTTTTGTTTTGCGGACGCGAATGGATGCTTCTTTCGGGGGTAAACATGGTGATTGGTCTTACAAAGAACCAGAGAGTCCGCAGGAGAAGTGGGAGACGGTGAAGGGCCACCTTGAGAAGGTCTACCAATTTGGCAAGGAGACCTGGGAGAAGTATGGGGCGCAGTTCAAGGCGAGCTTGCAAAATCTTCGAAGCTTACAGGGCGTTTCTTGCAGGGAGGGGGCCTAAAAGAGGTCTCAACCCCACCCTGAACCGCCACGCCTCGCGGGCCGCAAGTCAAAATTCAAGTCCTTATAAGGTCTTTGGTGCTCTAGTAGTTGCGTACCAACAAATGGCTGTGGGTCAAAACAAATGGTACCATTTTGGGGTAGGTGAAGAACTCATTGAAGTTTATTTTAGTGGGGATTGGGGATGTTCACTGTAGGTACAGGATTTGACCTATGGCCACACACCTCACGTAAAAATCACCCCGCCTTAAAGGGCCCCTACAGCAAATTCGAAAGGCCGGCAACCTGTCTCAACTGTCCTCGTTGATCAAGAACCTCACTGCCAACATCTCCATGGACAACGTCTCGCAGGTGCGCGCATGAGCCCGATAGAAGGGTTCAAAACTCCAGACGGGCATGCGCTTTTTCGGACCCGATCGTGGCTCGCTTTCAAAATAAAAGCGGGCTCCGAAATTGGGCGCCCCCCTTTGGGTGATAGAACTTTTCCTAAAATCATGTCTGATGCTTGGGTGCTTTAGGCGGTAGTGTTGTGAAAAGATGTGTTGGTGGACAAATGGTGCTCCAGAATGATGGAACATAAATCTTGTAGGGTTAGAAAGGTTCGAAAAAGAGGGGGGCCTAGAATAATTGACTTTGCTGTTCCAGGGCTTTGAAAGAAAAGCGCCCAAGAATGATGGAGCAAAGTTAAGGGAATATTTTGGTTCTGAGTGCGCGATGTGGCACGTAACGACGTGTCTCTTATGATGCCGGTCACGCTCACCGGTCCGAAGCCATTGGGCCGCGCTCTTGCGCCGAGATTCACGTTGAAGATTCCACGCGTGGTGCTTGTAGTGCATGTTCCTGGGTGAATTATAACAACCTCAAGCGACCGAATTCTCCCCAAAATGGTGGTTTATGTGGGGAGTAGCCTTATTTCAGGTGAACATTTTAATTCACCCAGATGTTCTGACAAACGGCGTAACGAAGCTAGACAGCACTTCCAGCGCACGGGGTGCACCGCAGGTGTAGGCGGGTCTGCGTTTGGGTTCAGGCTCCTTTTGGGAAAGAATGTCCATGGCGGAAAGCATCACCTCCCGGTGATTTGCTTTTGGCTAGCCTTTGACACCACGCAACGCAAACATTACACGACCCACAAGCAAAACTTGGGTAGATGAACTTGGGGGCAGTCCGAAACATGAAGAGGTGTGGCGTGCTGCGTGTTTCAAAGTGAATGTTCTCCTGGTGGGATGTTGTTTGAACATATCAACAGGCAAGTCATTTGGGGAGAAGGGGCTCGTCGCCCCAACTTTTGGGCCCCAATCCGAGGTGGCGCAGAGTGTGATGAGCGAGACCTCGGGGGAGACCTCGGAGGAGAGTGTCGCGATTCAACGAGACCGGTATGCGGAGGGGCAGGAGCGTGGGACAAAGGCTTGAACATTCAAGTTCTGCTAAGCTGGTTTGGCAGCGATCAGGTCCGCTTCTCAGGTTTTGGACACCCAAAAACCCGTAAGACCATTTTTCCGTCTTACTGGGAAAACTGGTTTATCGTTTTGCCGTTGTGACGTTGTATTGAGGGGCACAGGAAAACCATGTTTATTTCTATTTTTACAGTTTTGTCGTTTACTGAAGGAAACGTAAACTGGCAAAAACGTTATACCCTTTGGGAGGCAGACCCCCGCTCAAGCACCTCCGCTTAAGCGCGCCCGCCCAGCACTGCGCACACGCCTGCCAAATGATAAGAACCTCCGCTCAAATGCACGCAGCAGTGCGCGCACGCCTTTGCAAGTATGCAAAGACGGCTGCCCTTCTTGAGTTGGCGATGCTTTCGGAGTCTAGGCAATTCCAACTCCCTTCCCTCTTCAAAAAAAGTGCCTTCCTAGTAACAACACCCGCCAATCTCAGCCCTTTCATCCTTAACCTAGCAACTCCGTACTAGCAACTTAACAACCCGTCATTCTGATGGAACGCGCGGCCGCTCATCCACGTCTCTTAGCGCTGCCAGGGAGTAATTTTCGCTCGAGTACGCAGCATTCGGACGACACAATATTTGCAAGATTTCCGTCCTCACAGTCTTCGCAGTGGATGAAATGTGATGATATTTTGGCAAGCATATGTGCAGTTCTGGACAGGTGCGCTTGAGGGGGGGTTCTTGTCATTTGCCTAACTTGTGCAGCACTGTTTGCGCAGCGCTGCTTGTAGAGGGCCACTGTGCGGCTACTTGCGCAGAGACTACTTGAGTAGCCTTACTCGCGCAGCAACTACTTGCGCAGCGCTACTATTTCGCGTGCTACGCTTGTCCTGAAAACCTACAATCTTGGTCCGGAGCTGCGCTTTGTGTACTCCGCTTGAGCTGAAAAGCGAACTGGAGCTGCAAGAATGTGGCGCCCCGCTACCACACCTGCGCATCCTTTGCGAATGAAGTTCTTCGCCATGGCTGGGTGATCTTCAGAGAGCCGCCTCTTGACCTTTTGGAGGACCTTGCTGCGCGGCTTAAGTTGTCGCCAATGCTTCGAAGCGTTGAAAGAAGCAACTGTTTGTTTTTCCCTTCCTTCTGCCCGTCCTTGGCTTGGGCGCTCGCGCTAGCAAAAGCTAGTGCCCTCTGCCATACCACTGTTCTTGCGGAGCAACAGGTGGCCTTACCACCCCGACTCTACGCTGACAGACCCTGGCTATCGCGCGCCAGTGCCGTCGGCGCGCGGACATGAGACTGCCAAGGACACCAAGGCAAAGACCCACCGCGGGCGGTGCTAGACACGCTTTACCCAGTCAACTGCAGTCGTCGTGCACACAAATGTATGTATGTATTGACATGCACATTTTCATGCATAGTTGTGCTCTTTGACAGGTGCACGCTTAGCTTGTGCTGCATCCTCATAGTTTTGATGGCGCAAATATATTTTTTAGCTTTCGATTTTGCTGGAAAGACGCGCACATTACGTTTGTTCTGCAAGTGAGCGGGGCAATTCGCTTGCGTGTTGGCTGCTCGCGGGACTAAAAAGATCCATGTTTGTTGAGATCAATCGGTCTGATCTGAGCCGAACAAGTCCGTGCTTTCCTTTCCATTTTGATGGCCAGGAGATCATGCACTTCGGGGTGCATTATTGGGTGTACCAAAAGGACATCACGCATTATGCGACGAGGTATACACACAGCAAATATATGGAATGTTCTTGGCCCGGAGCCTGGTACAGAGCCCTTGAAGATTTCGGGGCTGCCCCACAGCCACGATATTCAAAGACATGGATGATCTCGGAGGACCAACTCAGCGGCCGAAGACGGCGCGCCAAGTGGGTGGGTCGACCGGCGGATGATCAAGATCGAAGGTACTACGAGATGAGCATGTCTCACCACAATAAATTTCTCGAATCTCGGCTGCTCTTGGCGACCTTTGATCTTTTTGACCTTCTGACTTTCGGCTATGTCTTTTCTGGCGCACAGTTTTTCCACTCGGGGCCAAGGAGAGCGGCGCCAACTCGATCTTTGCAAACTATAGATCCTTGCGGGCCTCCTGCAAAGAGCCGGGAAGCACCTTCGTCTGCCTCGGTGCGAGCATAAAAGCCTTTTGCAAAAAAGGCACACCGCAGTTCAAGATTCCAAACAGGGGAACACATTTTTCATCTTGCAACTGTTTCAACGTGGAAGGTTGCCCCCCCCCCCCCCCCCCACTCAACTGGATCCATTAAAGTCTGGCATTTCGAGGGCTTTGGGGTTGGGAAACGCCTTGCTGAAGCCACTTTAGCGGACCCAAATTCTTTCCAACATTTTTTCAAGGGGATCAGTGTCTTTCAAATCAATCAGGTGCAGGTCGGATTGTCCTCTTTTTACAAAAAATCCGAGGCATGTTCGCGGAGGACCTAGTCACCAAGCTGTTTCCCTCGGGTTCGCCTGAGCCTTTGGATGAGGAGCACGCCGCGGACATGGTTCAGGTGAAACAGGATCTCCTCAGCGCAGGGGAGACGGCGACTCAGGCTCTTTGGGCGGAAAGTCGAGTTGGAAAGCTTGGGCGGGCTTCGCCCCTCAACCTAGGAAACAAAAAAGGGTTGTGAGTTCCCGTGGTGATTTTCCGTTTTCCGCAAAGCGCCAATCTAGAGGTCGATTCCCCACGCTTTCAAAGCAGCATATTGCCGCCGTAGCACTGAGGCAAGTTATAACCAGTTCACCTGGGGTGAAAATGAGCAAAAGCCGCATGAAGAAGGTCCCCTGTCCAGGGGACTCCTATTTTCAGTTTGCCAATTTGTTGATAATTTGCCCAGAATGATAATGGTTTGGACGGGTGCTGGCGGATTTTATCACGCAACCACTCAGCCACTCGAGTGGCTGAGTGGCTGAAGAGGCTGAGTGCCGCTCGCAGAATCTACTCGGATTCCTTTCTTTCCAGACCATTGATCAGGGCTCCTTAAAAGATACATTTTGTCGTGCCCATCTGAAACATGGCTTTTTCCAGCGAAATAAAGGGGCACCACCATTTACAAGGCAATGTTCAGGTGTATAATGTAAGGATCCCTGTTGAGGAAGAAAGATGCGGGCAAGAACCAGGAAGTCATTCCGTTTTCATCCCGTGATTGACTGGAAGTCACCAGACTTGTTGGTTCCCAGTTGGGACACAATTTCGGGGCTTTGGGGGGATGAACCGCTTGGGATGCCTGATTCACCAGTCTGGTAGTGGGGTCATTCCAACTCATCTCATAGCAAACAAAGATCACTAAGTCACTAATCTGAGATTATTACACTTACCATTTACGGAGAACATCGATGCAGATATCTGCCCTTTGAGTTCTTTATCTGGGTTTTGGGACCCCCTTGACCAGGTTTGGACCCGGGAAGTCTCCTGAGGGTTTCGTTTGAGGTTTTTACATTGTAACCTTTCATTTGTGGCGGGTTGTTTTGTTGGGAGTTTCGGACAGTTTGATGTGTTGGGCATATTTTTTTTAATGCAAGAGCTGGCACTGACACCTTTTCTGTTTTTTTTGGTGTTTCGAATAGTTTGATTTGTTGAGTATATGTTTTAAGCAGTAACTGGCAATCTCCAAAAGTCCCCATGTTTTCAAGTAATAAATGGCACTCACCGCCATTTTTCCGCCTGGTGAACCATGGGTTCCGGGCGCGAACTTTCTTCACCGGGCGTTTTGGCTTCGCCTGAGGCCGTGTGCATGCAGCTGGAGGTGCGGCTCTGTGACGCCGGCACGCTGGCCGCGGACCGGGATGTGGACCAGGCGGCCTTCCTCGCGCAGCTGGAGGTGCGGGGAACGACCCTCCGGGTGTGGGGATGGACACAAAAGGGAGCCACCAGTTGGATGGTTGAAAGGGGGAATGGACACCAACTGGAAAACCCTGCCTTTTTTGGGGGGCCCACTTAAAAACAACGACACACTCCACATTGGGAACATGACGAGCAAAAAAGGCCTTACCTTGCTGGTGCTCAGTAGGGAAATGAGGGAATGAACCTGGGGATTCCCTTAAAGGGGATCATTCCAATTCTCATTCCCTGCCTATCGAACCATCAAGAAAATGGGGTTGTCTCAAAGCAAGCCGAGCCACAGGGGAACTGTTTCCCATAGTATGAAGCTGTTTGTTGTTTTCCTCTTGGTTTCTCTCTTGACACCGACCAACAAAGTGGCCTTAGCAAAACAAAACACGCAGAAGCATAAAAACCCAAGCACACACACACACACTCACGCACAAGCTTGGGAACAAGGACAGGTCCTTTATTGCGGTATTTTTTCGGCGTTGAAGAGACAAGGGAAGACCGATGTCATGGGCTTCGGTCCGATTCCAATTTTTAAGATATGTCGGGCCGATCTCTGGAGATCGGCCGCCGGGCTTTGCCGTTTTTTGGATTCCTTTTCCATGGGTTCTGCGTTCGAGTGAGTCATTCGATTCGGGTCGGCAAAACACAATGTAGGTCCTCCATGTGGGGATCCTTAATGTGGGGAAAAAGCATAGGTTGCCACTTTCTGTGAGTGCCAAGGGAATTGAAGTGACTGTTGGTGCATCACGGGCATGGCCCACTTTGGTGTCACAAGGATGACTTCCCAGATGCAACCCCTGGTTTCACGCACTCAGAGGATCCATTTCGGGAATGCAGCGTTAGGTTCTCAGGGAATGAGGGAATGAACCCGTGAACTGTGCAAAGTGGATGGTCAGTTGGGGTCATCCCAACGTCAATATTCCAACTGAAAACACCCCCCCCCCCCTTGAGGGACGTCAAAGGGTTGAAGCCACAGTTTAGTGAAGCCTCAACCCTACAGGCGGAAGAACGGGAGAAGCAGACAGACGCTCGGTGATGATCATGGGGACAGACCTTATCTTTTTGTCCAAAAGGCCAGGTTTCCCCCGGTTTGCCTGGTTTCCCTGGGGTCCCTTGTCGCCATTTTGAAATCCATTCTGGTAGTTCCATATACTTTCCTGCCCTGTTCGGGTTGTATTTGTCGTAGTGGATATTTATTTTATGGATTTGTATATTACAAAACCAGACCTTGCGAGTTCTGAATTTTCAATTTACAATTCAATGTCCTGCGGTATGTTGTCAAGTGCCCTTTTTGAAATCAGCATTGTTTGGAATGTTGTACCTCCCGCTTCTCATTGAAAGCTTCATTGGTGCTTTTAGTTCGTGGCGGTCAAAAGGAACATCAGCATCAACAATAAGTTTCATTGATTTGTCTTTTTCTCCAGATATTGTGATAGACTCTTTTCTTGCCATTTCAAAGATGTAAATCCCTTGTACCCCTTGAATGGCATGTTGGTAATTGAATATGTGTCGGCATATCCTTTCAACACTGAAAATGTCTCTGATGTTTTCGCTCCTGCTCTAATCCTGTATTTCTGGATTGTTTTAATCCTTTTTTTTAAACAAAATAAGAACTTGAAATCGTTTAAATCCTTGTGTGGTGCTGACTTGGTTGAGTTTGTTTTGAAGTGATGTTGATAATTGTTTGTCTTTGAAGGCATTATAGTATTCTTTGTTGTTGATGATTAGTTCTTTCAATGGTTTGTTATTCCTATTTTTGTGGTTGCTTCGCTATTTCATAACAAATAGTCAATTTCTGAACCCGACCTTAAATCCCCTGCCATATATCTATACTATATAGGGTATTTTCTCTTTAAGGCCTTTTTGTTGGGTGGGTTTGGGTTGCGGGTTTGGGTTTTGTGGGGTTGGGTTCAATGTTTAAATGGGCTGGTTGACAGTGTGCTTAAACCATAGAGGATATTGGATACGGACAGTATTGGATGCTGGATACTGGCAGTATTGGAAGTTGAATACTGGCAGTACTGAATATTGAATACTGACAGTACTGAATATTGAATACTGGATGCTGGCAGTATTGGAAATTGAACACTGACAGTCTTGAAGAGGGAAATTGCCTACAAGCAATATTGGTTGGGTATATAGTCTTCATCAACACATATACTTGAAATCCCCCAGAACGCAAAACAATGGTCTGAAAACCTGAAGCTTGAAAATGCCGATTGACTGTTATTAAATGAACACCCATGTAGACAATTGTTGGGAAATTGTACCCAAGAACATTTACGGGATGCACGGGTATAGATATTATGAAGGACCAAAATGAGCGAACATGTAGTTGGTGTAAAATTGTCTAACCAAGATGCATAATTTACTGATACTAGAACACTCTGTAATGGATGTGATGAGACGTGTAGATAATATCACAGCAAGAACCGAGACAAGGACAGGCAACAAGCAAAGAACAAATATGAAAGAATGCCGTGAAGGCATATTGGAGAATAAACAGCAATACCGAGAGCAGAACCGAGACAAGGTGCTAGAGCAACAGAAAACATATAGAGAAAGACACAAAGAACAAATCCGGCAAACACAAAGAAATGTTATGACAACAGTAGGGATGTTACTTTAGCAAAACAGCGAGACCGTTTTAAAGAGAGAACATAATACCCAGTGTGTATTTCGCTGATATTGAAACATATGAAATCAAGACGCGAGCAACTAAAAATATATGAAACAAATGAATAAATAACATGAAGCAGCAGAATATATCATTATGATAATAGTTGCTGTTATGGGGAGAATAAAACAACATAGTGCGAAAATGTTAGGCTTTTCACTGGTGATAGAGAGAATTACGCAGATTAATTTTCGGATTGCTAATATTAGTTGGACAATATGTTCACTCTCGGGGGGGTGTCGTCCCCAAGGACAGACAATTGGATGTTTAACCCAAAGTTACGACAAAACTACACTCCCCAAAATGGTAGCTTCAAAAAAAGCAATCCTAAACAGGGTACCTTTGCAAAAAGCACCCCCCCACCCCCAAAAAGCCTGGCCTTGAACGCGTCACACCTCTAAGAAGGTCCTGTTTCTTGTTATCGACGCTGAGGCCGAGATCAAGGACGAGATCAAGGCGCAGGCAGAGGCGCTGAAGAAGGAGAGAAGGGACGCGGCTTGGGAGAGAATCTGAAATCCAAAAGGTTGCAACTTCCATCTTTTAGCGATTGCCTGCTCTGCGCCAACTTCTTGGTGCTTTGACTCGACGTCTCTCCAGGAGATCGCGGAGTCTCAGGCTGCCGTGCAACAAGGCATGGCTGCGAGCGAAATGTGATATTAACCGTTTTGCTGAGTGGGTCGGTGGTTGTTTCAGCTTTCTTTGGGGAAACCATCAAACCTACACCTTTCTGTTAGTCTTTTTTTCCAACCGCTATTCTAGTCTAAGAACCCATTCTTTTCATAGCCGTATTTTTAAGAGCCAGGTTTTCGATGGCAGACCCTTCCTTCGTTGGGGGCTGACATCATTTGGCACCGCAGGCATTGTGGAGGCCACCGCCAGCATGGAGCAGGCCGTGGACAAGAGCGCGGAGAAGACCCAGGACGGTCTCAAGTGTTTGGTTGTTACTCGGCTGGCAGTGGCGACGACGATGGGCTGGGGGCAGGGCAAAAAGGGGTAGCTGTCCAGCAAAGCCCTCTGATTAAAGATGGCTGTGGGTCAAAACCAATGGTAGGTGAATTCACCACCCATTTTAAAACCTATTTTAGTGGGGATTGGGGGTACGGGATTTTGACCCATGGCCAGTTGGCTGTGGCTCAAAAACATGTATCAAAATGGCACCCTTCAAAACTTGCGTAACCCTAGCTAAGTTTTTGCATTTTACTCGGTTGTCCTAAGCGAATCGCACTTTCCACCTTTAGTTTTCCATCTTTTGGTCAAGATTCCAGAAGGTGTTGGAACCTTGTATTTCCAGACCCTTTGGGCAAGTGAGTTTAGGGTAGAATGAATCTGGATCAGAGAGTATGTTCTGCGTTTTCCTGTCTTGTTGAGAGGAGCTAATGGCGCAAAAGCACGGCGAGACTCGGGCCTTGGTGATGGAAGAAGGCTGGATCTGGAAGGAACGCCTGGTGTGTGATTTAAACATACGGAAGGGCTCCAAGTCTTGCTGGTGCTCTGTCGGGACCCAGGGAAAGAACCAGAAGGTGATTTCCTTAAAGGAAACGGGTTTGTAGGCGTCAGTCCCTCATTCCCGAACCAGCAAGAAATATGGGAGGGGTCCTTTTCCGAGGACGCCTTTTCGGGGTTCAAGGGTCTCCCCATTTATAAACATACTCATACGGAAAACGAGGGAGACTTAGGAGGGCAGTCCGGATGGAACATGTGGATGACAAACTGGTTGGATTTGGAGGTGGTGTTTTTGTCATGAAAAAAGTGGTAAATGACCAAGACATGGGGGCATGGCAGGATTCGCAAAATTTTGATCAACCAGACCCGATTTGCCCGCCCTGAAAAGAATGGCAACACGAAAGGAGGTTGTGGGGTCTGATGAGAATAAATGCCACATTGAAGCTTGTTTTTGGGCGGGGTTTCTACTTTGGCCTTGTTGTCCATTAAGGTACTGTTCCCCTTTCTGTGTTGCGCTTGGGTGTTCGACCAAACTCGTGAGCGATCCCACTCCGCGGATGTCTCAGTGGCTTGTCGCCGAACCACCAAGTGGCCAAGCTGGTGAAATACTAGTGGGGTGGTCCTCAAAGTTAATGATCATCAATGGGACACCCCCTATTTATCAGTCAGGGTTTAATAATCCTACTCCTTACACTAAGTACCTACTTTGTTTTCAGTGTATGATAGGGTATAATGTCGGCCCTCTACGAAAGAATGTTCTTCCCACGAAACCTGGTTGTTCAAAATAGACCTTCAAACAGAGGGTAGCTATTTGGAGTCCGTTCCGGTCCCGGTTTCCTTCAGGCAAAGACACCCGGAGGGCCATCACGAAGTCCACGGAGGAGATCCGCGCCGCGATGGGCGCGATGGACCGAAACCTGCAGAGCTCCATCTCCAACTTGGGCAACAAGGTCCTGCAGGCCACGGCCTTTCCGTTTTGTTCGCATTTCTCCGGGAAAAAGGAACGCGGGGGGACGAGGGGGGGATCTTTTCGGGTTCCTTTCTTTTTGTGTTTTCCCCTCCTTGCTTTTTGGGAGAGTTGGCATTCTTTGCTTGTTTGGGTGGATTCGCAGGCAGTCTCAAAGGGAGTCGAAACGGAAAACCGGCTATGTTTCCGAATGAATAGGGGACCAGCAAAATGTGTGGTCTCGCTGTAATCAAGATCTGTGCCTTCAAAAGGAGACAACCTCTGGGTTGAACAATGATTGTATCATCAGGGCTGGTTAGGCGTCTCTTCCCAAAACGAGGCTTGTAACCCAACTCAGGCGCCAAACTTCTCTTTTCAGGCCTCGGTCCAAGGCTCCAAATTATGTATTGCGGGCTAGTCGCAGACTGCCCGGAAATCTTGACAAAGTGTAGCTTTGAGGCCTGTTCGAAACAAATTTACGTCCGGATAAATTCCATTTATGGGGAAATCGACAGTCCTTCCTTTCCCCGATTTTTGTGCAGTGTTCCCTCGGTCTCCCTTTAAACCGAAAGGGTATATAAAGTTAGATGATCTTCTGGGAAACAATGTCTTGTTTCTTCAGACGTTTTTGCTTCATTGGGTGTTGTTTCAAATTTTGCTTTTTCGGGCCCCACACGGAAGGCTCAAGCGCCACATCCCGACGTCCAGGAGAGCCAGCGCAGCACGGCTCAAGTCCTTGGGGGCATCAAGCAGACGCGGGAGGCCCTAAGCTCCAAGATGACGGCCATCACCGGCCAGATCCAGGAGACGAGTGGGAGGCCACAAAAAAACTGAGTCCCAAAAAGCGGGCATAAAGCGGCGTCAGGTGATCCGATTGGGCGCAGCGCCGATTGCCTTTTTGATTCCTTCGCTGGATGTCGGAGAATCACAGGAGGTTGGGGTCTCCCCCCCCCAAACTTTTCACCGAGGGCAGGGATTCTTTCAGTTTGGATACTCTGGAAATTGGAACGGTATCAATATGACTCTCATTGTGATTAGTAGTGGTGACAGTGGCGATAGTGGCGACAGTGGTGAGAATGGTGAGAATGGTGAGAGTGGTGATAGTGGTGATAGCAACGTTGGTCATGGTGGCTATCGTTTTTCCTTCAAAGCCAACCCGACAAAAGGGGGGCTTGGCTTTGGTAACTTGGTGGCCCTTTGGCGTGATGGGATTTCACCTTTTCCCGTCTTTCCAACAATTGGAAGTGGCCAAGTGGCTTTGTCAAGAGCATGGCAGTCTTCCAAAACCCTCCTTTGCACTTTCGATTGTTCGAAGAGTTTAGTGTCTCTCACAGTCTGGGAGCCCTGAGAATTTTGGCCTTCTCACTCTCACTGTGTACCTTCTAGAGGCCTTCTTTTTACTGTCTGCAAGCTTTCTTGCAAGTTTAACAACTCATTGTGTGATGCTTGCTCTCTTTAAAATTGGGATCTCCATTTTAAACCATCCAACAAGAGGCAGTTGTCATTGTTTCTCGCTATTTGAAGGCTACCCTTTTTGGGATAGATCTTTCCGGGGTGGAGTGCAACGAGAAGAACCTCGGACAACTTTTCGGGGCCACCCACAAACCAGAAGACGACCTCCGATTTTCCCCAGTTGGGATCTCGAAGCTGGCAGTGCTTGGCGAGCCCCAGGAGGCCCCCCGTCGTCTTTTGTGTGAGAGTCTGGCGGGAAGGAAACCGCACGGGCGGGTCTTTTTTGAAGTATTGCAAGGGGCGAAAGTGGAGATGTATCTTTTACCGTGCGTTTTCCCTGGTTTGCAGTTCAGTACAGAAGGGACTACTGCCATATTTAGGGCATCCGTATGAAAAGGGGGTATGATGGATCTATCGGGCGGATGGTGCTGTGGCTTCGGCCTGAAGAAAACGGCCCATAGAAGCGATGGGGGTCCAGGATGGTCTTTCGCAGCTTCCCTCTTGGTGGTTTTGAAGTTAGGAAGTTTGCCATTGACCCGCAACAACCAGGGCTTCACACCGCGTGCGGTTTGCGAACTGCATGTTCCGCGTGCGGGGTGAAACCAGGACCTCTCCGGGGATGTGAAGGCGGGAAGTTCGGAGCGAGGAACTCAAGCTTCCTGGAGCCGTAGATGAGAAAGCTGATTTCCCTGAAAATGGGAAACAAGCAAGTTATTTTTTCTTTGCGACTCGCTCAGTGCAACTAAGTGCGCGGCGTTTTCTTGTCAGGGGCAGGCCCCAAAAGCAGCAACAGCTATTGTGCACCAAAAGGGGTTGTTGCAAAACAGGAGGCCGAATTCCATGTCACAGGAATGACGGATGGCTTCCCACTTTGACAAGGTCAAACATTGTCGGTTGTATTTCTCGAAACTGGCCCCCTGCCGGCCCAGATTCAACAGGTGATGAAGAAGGAGGTGACCGAGGCCGTCAAAGATACTGGGGACATGCTGATGAACCGAATCCGCAGGACGGGACTTGGCTCTTTGCTTCAGGTCTCTCTGCAAAAAAGTCTCTCGAGCGATGTACCTCAGTTGCTTGGAAACTGCGGTGATTGCTTTGATGATTCACCCGGGGCTTGAAGAAAAGCATAGAGGGGTAGTGGGGGATCCTTTTGCTGATCCCCCACTACTCACTTGTCTTGCGGCGCTGCAAACCACCCAACCAAGCAAACCACCCAACCAAGCAACCAACCAAACAAAGCCTGGGGGAGGGGGTGAGGGTTTGTCTATGTTTCGCCGAAAGCTTCAGACCTGTCCGGAAGCGGAATTTAAGCCGACATCAAGTAGATAACTGCTGGTCATATGAGTTGGCCTGCGCCAATCAATCTGCCTTAACTCATAGAAGCAAAAACAACTATCCTTCAACGCCTAATGAGAGGGTTTTGAGGCCGAAGGACCAAACCCCAATTGGGACCTCTGCTTTCCTCTCAACCTCGGGCTTGCGGTTTCCTGTGGGGCTTCTGAGCATCTGGGCAGGATGTCTGGAAAACGGATCGCTGAGAGGGCGAAAAAGAAACGCGGCAGCTTTGGGTCTGTCTCAAAACAAGAGAGCATGCGTGTGTCAAGAGCATGCATGCGTGTATGTGTGTCTTTGTGTGAGGGTGCCCTTTGGGGGCTTGTCTTACATGACAAAAGAAGGCAACGCCTACTTGGAGGTCTGTCAACAAAGCATGTAGACAAACAGTACTCATGCAAAATCAGCGCTTGCAGAAGTGGTTTAGGGTCACTTTGGATTCCATGGGTTTTGGTTCTCCGTTTCCTTCTGATCCGCTCTTCTCTTGTTGGGTGGTTTGGATGGTGGTTGGGGCTTCGGACCGCTAGTGCGTGTTTTTGGCCAAAGTGTTTGAGCGCGCAGGACGGAAGAGCAGCTGAAGAGTGACATCCAAGATGTTGAACGACAAGTCGTGGCGCGCACGGCGTCTTGGTCCGTATTCCAAGCGAGTTGTTTCAACCTTCGGGATTCTTCTCGCATTCTCCGTGCTTTTGCAAACCTGGCAAGGGGTATTTCATTTGCCGCAGCCAGTTTGCAAGGATTGGAACTTTGGTTCTGCTACTGTCCGTCCCCGCACTAATCATCCTGGTGGATTAGCAGGGGGGTGTTCCCCAAGAAGTGATTGGATCCGCTCGAACCTCGCTTCTTTTGGAAGACAACTTTCCTGTCCGAAGGGGAGAAATTCCTGCGCCCTCCGTATCGATGAATCAACAGTTTGTGAATCAACTTGGAAGCTGATTTGAGGATCTGATCATGGATCAGCTGGAGGACGGGGTGGAGTCCCTATCTCGTCAGATGCAAGCCTTCGAGGACAAGATGGACTCAGATCTGGCGAAGGTGCAGAATCAGCAGGCGGTGGGTCCAAGAAGGTGGGAAGGGGAGGGCCCTTGGGCTTTCACCCATCGAAACAAATCGCACAGTTTTGCATATCTCCTGCATATTTCCCAGAACTTCTCGGGCCATGATGATTGATAGCCTATCTTTTCCCAAGAGGCTGGTGGCCTGAGGATGTTTCTTTTCCAAGCAACATGACCATCTTAGACGGACCCGAGCCGTAGGCTTTGTGAGTAGTGGCAGTCTGGTCACTTGGCGACTGACACAGGTCTGGTTTCCCTCTCACTGCTCAGGAGCAACCCTGTTGCAGAAAGAAGCAATCTAACCTACCCTCCAAGTTCCGGTTTTGTTTGTTTGTTTGTATATGTTCTGAAGACCCCGGTGTTGTACGGCGAAACAACAAGGTCCCGGGTTGACAAATCATACCCAAGAAAGTGGCTGTGTCGGGTGTAGGGGGTACTTACTCAGTGGGTTAAATATCCCATGGCTCCTGCTGTCCAGTCGGCGCTCAATCAGTGTTGGAAGGCTGGCTTTTCGGTTGCAACTCGAAGGCCCTATCTTCCAATTCTGCTGGAAGAAATCCATTTCGCACCTAAGAAATCCTGGAAGGATTCGATTCTTCTGTAAATACCAACAAGCAACGGTTTCAACCATGGCTTCATTTCTGGTGCGATGGTCTTCGCCCATCCACAGTATATTCAACCATATTTTCCCGCCACTTGTCCTTTGTATATTTCCCAAGGTTGGTCTTTTTGGACACCAATTTCCATGTGTCTCCTCAAAGCAGCACACACAAGCGAATTAGACATCATACCGTTATGGGTATTGGGTGGGGGTTGCGTGGGAATTCTGAAATTCAACAGGCCGTCGTTTAGGCTTTGGCCTCCGACCTCGAGCTAGGGACAGATCCGGTTGCCAAAGCAAACATCTACCAGCCAACAAACTGAGCCCACCCAACCCAACCCAACCCAACCCAACCCAGCCCAGCCAAGCCCAACCAAGCAGGCGCGACAGGATTTCCATCCCCTCATAGTTTCCGTCTCATTTCATTCAGCTGACCCAAACCTCAAGGTGTTTCATCTCATTTCCATCACTCCAAACCTCAAGGTTGTTGTCTTTTCCCCCGGTGTTTGGTTGACCTCCGAGTCCTTAGGCGGTGATGACGGACATGTTGGTGGCCAACGCCATGCGCATGGACGAGCTCCATGAGGCCATGGAGGGTGCCCTGGACTTGGCTGAGGAGCCCCTCGGAGCAAAAAACCGCGCACGCCCTGGACGGGTTTTTCCGTTGGCCCCAGGGTGGCTGTGGGTCACCATTTTGGGGTAGGTGAATTCACTACCCACTTTAGAACCTATTTTAGTGGTTGGATTGGGATGTTCACTGGGGGTACGGCTACGCCTAGTGTTCCGGTGGTCCATGGCTTTCTCAGAGTGCGACATTGAACCTGAAGGCGGGTTCCTAGAGCGTGTTCCTTCATCCGTGTGGCTCAAAATTTGAAAGGTATGGTTGCGCAGCTGTTACCAAAGTGCAACTTGGGTGCATGTTTTTGAGCCACAGCCATGTGAATCAACCAGAAACCTCTTTCATCCGTGGTTCCAAGAGTCGTTTCCGGATTCCCACAAGGGGACACAATGAAATCAAGCAGGGGGTCTTTAATCCGAGGTTCCCGATTTCTGGGGGCCCCAACATGTTTTTGTTCCTGTTGGTTTCCAATGATGTTGGCCCCGGATGAATAAACCCCTGTTGATTGATATGGGGGTGTCACTGCGGGAGATGTGTGGAGGGGCCCCCACCCCTTATTAATAAACACCTTGTTGTTAGCAGCTAAGGGAAGCCAAAAGGACACCACTAAACCCTCTAGAAACTGAGGATTCGCTCGTTGAACCGCCAAGACAACCACGGGTTTATAAACTACTAATGTTGACCCAGGATTCATACCCCAGTTTATTGATATGGCAGTGTTCCCCTCCAAAGGAGGCCTGAATCCCCACCAATCCCAGGGACCCCCTATTCATCAAAGGACGTCGAGTTGGAAACTTGTGTACTACGAAAAGTTGAAGAAGCAAACAAGTGGCAAAGAAAGTGGACAGCAAAGCAAGCAAGAAATACAAAGAAGGAGATAGAGAAGGAAGGAATTGTGTGGCAGGCGCAGCACCAAGTTTGGGGTCCCAGTCAGCCATGGCTATGACCTACTCTGTGGGTTGAACATCCAAGCAAAGAAACGACGGTTTAGTTTGCTACCAGGGTTGGATCATGACTTGTGTGACATGCTATCCGGGTTTCAGGCGGTTTGAACATGGACCTGACTGGATTTCATTGTAGAATGACAGTAACAATCTTGGGATACAGAACATGACACGTTATTCGCTTTCAGGCTGCTTTGTTGTACAGTTGTATGTTTACTTTCAACCAACAAACAGTGCATGGCCGCTTCGTACAGATTCATACTGTACTTGCAACCAACAAGACAGATGCTTTCAGAGCAATTTTCAGCACTAGCCGCTTGGTTCGCCATGGTAGATGCAATCTCTTCTGGTACGGGATTGATCGACACAATACCCCTCGACCCACTTTGAACCAATATCACAAAATCAATCAAATCAGTGTCCGCCTTTTGCCCATTTTAGACATCACCTCGCCATTTGAAGGCTAGGTGGGCTGACGTGTAACGGAGAGAATCGGGATTCTCAAGATCACACTTGCTTGAGCTCAGGCATCAGCTGGAGTATCTCAGCATGAGCCTTGGACGTGGACCATGTCTTTCCCGTGTTTTGCTTCGCCCCACCTGTTTTTGTGCTTGGTTTGCCCACGCGGTTCTTTTGGCTTCCATGTTAGACTAAGGGAGTGTTTGTCCGAGGGTCTTTTTTTGCCATTTTCTGGGTCAGCCGAAGCTTCACTTCTTTCTGGACTCTGTGCCCTTTTGGGCTCATTTTTTGACGGGGACACTGTTTTTTCTCCGTCCAGGCCCTTTTCCCCAAACAACACGTACCATATTGTCGGCCAGTTTTTGAGGCTGATTACTCCCAGTTCAGTTTAGTCATCCCTACACATCTGCCCCAACAGTTGCGCCGTCGAGTCATGGATCTGGGGCTTGTTTCGGGTCCGAACGCACCTACCTCACCCAGGTCTTTTGAAGGTATCCTTAGAGGGAACTTTCATTTCAAGACATAACCTCTCTCTCACCAACATGGCACCTGACAGGTGCCTCCAAGAGGAAACCAATCTTCCAGCTGCCCTTTTTTCACAGGTGCCTTCTGCTGGTGGGAGAGAGGGTACCCACGTAGCCATTTGGGTATCGGTGAAAATTAAGCCGCCAGGATATGGAGCAGATTTTGGTCCATGCTTCCATTTCCCCATTTTGGACACCCCATTTTACCCACATTTTGTGACCACAGCCGTTTGTCTCAAGGCACCTGGCGCAAGCGATGCTGGGGGTGAAGTCCGCCTTTAGCAGCGCCTTTGACTTGGCCCAGAACGTGGAGCGGGCGAAGATCGCGTACGGGCGGGCGGTGTCCAACTACACCTGGTGCCAGGCCAGGCGTGGCAACTTGGGGCTTTTGGGCTTGACTGGAACCTTGCCAAGTTTTTTTTCTTTTTTCCCCAACAGCTGAAAGCTTTGGGGTCTCAGCCCAGATAGGCTCCGGGGTGGTCCGGGCGGCCCTGAGGTAAGGTTCCACGAGGGTTCCACCAGGGTTGCACCAGGGTTCCACTAGGGTTCCACCAGGGTTCCACGAGGTTCCGCGAGGGCTGCGGGGTGGTGCGAGCACTAAAAAGAGCACCGCATGCTGTTGGGGATATCACCAGAGCTTTTTGTTTTGTTTTTTTTTTTTTTGGGGGGGGGAATAAGGGGGTGAAGAACCTTTGGGCTTTGGGCTTGGGGGGAAGAGTGTGTGTGTGTGTGTGTGTGTTCGGAGTTCAAAATTTGATTGTTGGAGAGGCTGGTTTCCCCTTACCACGAATCTTTTCTGAAGCTTTGGGTTGGAGGGGGGGAGGGGGCCATGCTGTTGCCTGCAATCCGCTTGTTTGACGGCGAGCTCGATTCCCGATTCGGGGGGAATCGAGCTCATGCTGAAGGTCCTTTACTTGGGGATTGCTTGTGCTGGGCTTTGGGAATCTAACATTTGTAGCTGGGCTGCCAGAAGTGGGACAAGTATAGCTGAAGCAACGTGCAGTGTGAGTACATAAGCATGAATGTGAGGCGATGTCATGCGATGTCATGCGATGTCACCACGTGTTGTATTGCAATACGAAGAAAAGGGAAACGCATCGAAATGACCATGGCATGACATGAAATGCGGTCAACGCGAACGCGAACATGAAGGTGCGTTGCGGCCGTTGGGGGGGTAGTACCTTGCCACCGCAGACGAAGACAAATGTCGAAGACATATTCGCCCAAGGCTCTCAGAAACAAAGAGGACCCCCGAAGACGAATTCCGAGTTCCCAAACCAAATCCCCCCGAAGCCGAATTCCACCCGAAGACGAATTGCGAAGACGAATTTGCTGAAGCCGAAGTCCTTCGCGACGCCGAAATTCCTTCCAAAGACGAATTGAGAAGGCGAATTCCTGAGTTAAATCCCCTCCCCCCGAAGCCAAATTCCACCCATTTGGCGCGGTGCTGCTTGGCGGGAGGTTTGTTTTCGCGTGGCTTCAGAGAAATGGATCCTGGCTATCGACAGGTTTTCTTTTCGCAGAAAGAAGCTCGTCCTCGCTTGCCCCCACAACTAGGTGCATGTTTCACTGCTGTGCTAGACACTGGCTGGAACTTGGCGTTCTACCTCTGACACTGTTCATTTTGTAGGAACGGATCCAGGGAATCGCGAGACTATTTGCCGGGCTTCTTAGAGGGCCCCGATTCGCACCATCACGGCGTGCTACATCAAGCCAGCGACCAGCTGGGTCTTCTCAGCGCACTTTAAGGGAAGCTGCACCTCATAAACTGCACCATCCCGCAGCCAACAGCGAAAGCGCTCAGCTGTGGAAAGCTCTCTGCGTCTTGGGTGGATAACTAGTGGCAGGTCTGCTGTTCCAAGGTTGTCTCAAATCCGCGATGATTTGCGTAGTTGGATGCAGCTCATACGAACAATGACAGATGAATCTTCATGCCGCTTATGCTGCGCCATGGCGCGCGTGGGGCGTACCCGTACGCAGGATTGTGGTCATCGCTTATGCGCGTGCGGCTAGCTTTGGAGTCGCATAAGCGACTCGCGCACGAAGCACGTCCTCAAGCGGAAAGAGATTGTGGGGTGACGGGTGCTCTTCTATTTCCCGGGAATGGCGGGTTCGTTTGTTGCCAACATCGTTTCAGGAAATTGTAGTATCCTCGCAAAGAGGGCTTGCAACCTTGCGCCCTGGGTTCAAGTTCCTTCCCAACACCCGGTGCCTAGTAGCAGACCCCCAAGTGAGTGCTCGTCCAAGGCAGGGCGTTAAAAAGAAAGACGAACGAAGGCAGGAAGGTCCCAAAAATAGGGCGCTCGTAGAATGAGGCTTTAACCTGCGTTCTCGGCCGGAAATTGGCCGGCCTTATCGACCTATCGATTTAGGTTAGTTAACATGTGCAACCGAAAGGAAACCCATCATTCTGCCCCCCCCGAATCTCGACGTAGAATCTTGCCAGGTTCCCTGGCCTCGGGTGGTGGAAGCCAAAAATCAGATGACGGTGGCGAAAGCCTTGCTGACCCACGAGGCCCGTCCCATTTTCTGCCGAGCGACCCGTTTTGGGCCGGCTCTGGTGTTTGCCTTTTTTGGGAAGTTCTTGGGAAACTGATGTGGATTTCGAATCGCGAACGGTCGGAATCGTCCAGGAGCAGGTGTCCTTTTGCAACATGGAGCGGGACCAAACATGATTCAGTAGAACAAAGGCCGTTTTCCCACTCTTTTTTTGGGGGGACTTTTTGGCCGCTTTTGACAACGTTTAGACACCGGCTTTTGGCAGGAGCTTTCCCCCTTTTGGGCCTCGTTCTAGTATAGAAACGCACTAGTGGCCCCATTAAGGCTTGAGAAAACTTTGTGCAGGTTGTTGCCTTTTTGTTTTCCGTGGCAGGAGGTCCTTTTTGTTGTATCGCACGTTTTTGCAGTCGGGCAGCAAAGTTGAAACTCTTGTGACTTTCGAGTGCGAGCGCGCCAATTTTTGGGTTCATTGTCGGATCGCGCTTTTTTTGAGCGCTTTCTTCTCTGGGCACAATGTCATCATTTATGCAAGGCACGTCTTTTGTTGACGGTCATGCTCGATATGAGTACTCGTTTGCTGCTTTTGCAGACGGGCAGGTGGATCTGACAGCTCAGTTGCATTGCTGCTTCTGGTATCCAATGCACACGACCAAGGGTCTGTGTGGTTGCTGCAGCTGAGTCACTATCAAGCCCACCACCCCAGAATGTTAGCAGGTTCGGCGCTGCCGGGATGTTTTCCAGGCTGTTTCTCCTTTTGTGGGCAAAGGAGCTGTTGTATTTTAAATTGTGGGCAGAGCTGTTTTGCACATGTTTTCTTGCGTATTTCTGTACTTACTGTACTTGGGTTCATTTTTTTCATTTTTGGGGCAGGTGTATTTTGTCTCCCCGTTTTTGCTTTTTATGGGCGGGAACTGTTGTACGATTTTGCCAGGGAACTGTTGCATTTTAGGTTTCGTTTTTCCGCATCCCACTTTGTTTGGCTCCCTTTTTTGACAGGAGCCGTATGGTTTCCTTTTAGGGGTTCCTGCTCCGCTCCATCGGGCAACCCTCAGTTGGCTTGGATTGGCGGTTTGGAGTTTCCCCACTCGTTCTTGTAGAGAAGCGGGACACCCGCAAAAGACGCCAAAGCACCGATTCGGCAAGCTCTGGTTGAGCGGGAAACCACCGGGGCTTTTTGCGGCTTCCTTTTCGTTGTGGTAACTTTTCGCCCCAAGCCACCCAGCAATTCGGGGGGAGCTGACTTCGCCGGAGGAAACCACTCCCCGAGTTTTGGCGATTCACGTCAACCGGCCCGCCTTTTTCCCCAAGCCACCCACTCAAAGAACCCGCCCACCTTTTTTCCCCAAAACCCACGAAGGCCCCAAGCCAGCCTTTCGACAGCGGAGTTCGCAGCCAGGAGCTGCTGCCGATCTTCAAGAAGGCGAGGGACGCCTTTGTGGCGGTGGCGGAGGTGCTGACGAAAGGCCGGGTCTTGCGGCGGCTCATGGAGAAGGCGGTGCTGGAGATCCAGGCGGCGGAGGTGGGGTGTCTTGGGGGGGTTTGGGGGCATTTTGGGGGGGGGTTGTGCGGGGTTGTTCAAGCTACGCAAGGTTATAAGTTATAACCCTGTGTATAAGGTTTACTAGGAGTTGCCCGAGACATAACCACGGTTATAACATACTTACTCAGTAGCTTCAACACAAGGATTTTGGGTTGGGGTTGGTTGGGGTGCAATTCTTTACAGTATCCATTCATTCTCAAACCCACAAGTTACTGGCCCTGAACACGGATTGGCAGGACTTCTCGTAGTACTTGGGCCCAGGTCACACACAGATTTTGGCTTAATTCCCACGGGGATTGGGCCATGTGGTTCCAGGGGTCAGGTTTCAAAGGGACATGAAAGGCACCGCCTCAATTTTTCCAGGGCTGGAACCAACTGAGGGGCCCAGGGGTTCGCATGCGAGTACTCTTGGTTGGGGGTGTAAGTGCGAAATTGAAATGGACCGAAACTTAAAACTAGAAACCCATGCGACGCACAAGGCATCACTATCCCTATCCTTTACAAATTCTGGGTTGGAGATAGCTTTCCATCAGCTTGGGAAGGATTGCTGGAAAGGGAATCACTACTGGGCCTTTAACGAATCGTTTGGCATCCTACGAGTTGGATGGTTCAGTTTGGGGTCATTGAAACTCATTCCCTGAAAACCAGAAAGAGGAGGGTAGAGACCCCGCTTTCTCGTCCATGGTTCCTTTGAACATCACGCTTACACACGGACCATGTTGCCCTGGAACGCGATGTCAAATCTGCATGGTGACCGGACACCCGTGCAGAAACTCAACCCACACCAAGCACTGGTGGGGTGTCTGTTGCTGTGGAAGTGATTGACTCGTTTCTCGGCTTCATGAGCACCAGAACGTCATGGGCAACTTGAAGGATGAAGCGCCTTCCGCTACCCAGAGAGCGACATGACAAGTCCTCGCCTTTGCGTTCCATGCGGAAGTGGAAGCAGATTGCGCATGTCCACCACGTTGACCCGAAGGTAGGGTTCCGGCTGAAGTGTTTGGGGTGCTTGAGGGAGAAGGCCAAAAGTGGCTCCAGGCAGCCAAAGAGCCCGCCCGGAGTGGCAATGGCAAAGTGCGAAGGTCGGATGAGCGAGCCGCATAGGGCCCTCGACCAAGTCTGACCACCTCCCACGCGTCGTAAGAATGGCTCGTGCTGAGCTGCGGGTGATGCCGGCCTTGGCCTTGTGCGTTGGGATTGGCTCTGGGACGTCGTCTTCACCAGTGTGAACATGCTAGGAACGAGTAGAGGGTGAAGGGGAGCAATCTGGTACTTTCTCTTGTTGGAGGAGCTGATGCCGTAGTGGTTGGCCGCCTTTTTCTCGATCTTTTCGTGAGTTCAGCGTACTTCAGCCCTAACGAGTTGGATCGGAGCCCGGCGACTTGAGAGCGCTGCATGCCGTCTTGGAGTTGCGAGCCTGGCTGCGATGTCACGGATGCCCGAGCTTTTTGTGGCGCTCTCTTGCGGAACTCTCTTGTCGATCAGTGGGTCGACGAGCTGCTTGGTGATCGCATCCTCGTTGTGTGGTCCATTGGCATCCCTTCACGCAGGAGATCGATGACTCCGAGACGGGCGAGCGCGATAGCGCCGCATCGTAGAGAGAGGACGCACAGCCTTGCTTGATGGGCAAGGTGACGACTAGAACCGCGGCGCGGCATGTGGGCCCAGAGTCCGAACAGGAAGCCAGACCGCGTCAGCTTGCTGATCAAGTGGTGGTGCTTCAAGAGTGTGGATGTGTCCAGCAAGGCATCCCAATTTTTGCTTGGTTTCTTTTAAAGCAACCCCTGCAGAAGGCACGCTTTACATTTACTCATGGCAAGGCTTGGTCAAAGTTTCCTGACTTGTCTATGGTTCATTTGGGAAGGACATAGGACTCTTTTTTCCCCCCAAGCAAATCTACCTTCCCGGAAAAATAAAAGAAAACAGTGAGGGGGGATCCAGTTTGCACATGCCCTGTATCAGCGCTCCCCAACAGATACAATTCGAAGCAGCACCTTTCCATCAGATTAAAACGGATCAATTCCATCATAAGTTGTATCATTTGGGGGCATATGTTTAGGGTGATAATTGTAAACGCTTCGCGTTGCCCGCCTTGGCCAGTCAGCTTTTGGCTGGCTTTGAGGTATACACCGTGCGCTAGTTTGCCTTGAAGCCTTGTGTTACGTGAGCTGGTTTCCAAGGTAGAGGGTGGGTGCATGTCTGCGTGTTTCCACGTGGCTTCAAGGGCCAGAACGAGAGCTGCAGAGTGCTACAGAATGGCAGTGGGCTTGGGCCGAGCGAAGGTGAATTTGACTGGCTTCTGGGAGGAGTTTTGCCGGTTTCTGGAAGTTTAGAGGGGCTGGTTTTAAGGGGTTTTGGCCGGTTGCTAGGGGAGTTGGACTGGAAGTGATGTATTCATATGGGTACAAGGCGTGTTTTGATTCACCGCTGAGGTGAAGAAGGCGGCGCGTCACATCTGTCGTGACTACCTGGGGCCTGAGAGCTTGAAAGCGGTGGGGCAGGTCTTGAAGGCGTGGCTCTTGGAGGGGGAAGCCGCTGAGCGTCGTTTGAGGCCCTGAAGTGTGAAGCCAATTCCGGGGGCCAAGGCTACAACAGTTTTTGTGTATTCCGTGGGTTTCGGGCTCAATGATTCGGGGAAATATGTTCTGTAACTTGAAAATTCCTCTTGGAGGTCACGATCACAACCTGCTTGTAGGTTGTGCATGAATGCCCTATTGGTAGGCTGAATATGTGAATACGGGCGTGCCTCGTTTCTTTTGGGGGGAAGCTCCCAAGTTTTGGGAAACCGAAGAAAACCGACCATTTTGCATGTCTCATTTGGCTGGTATGGTTCATTCCCGCCTCAACCCAGTTCGCCAGTTGCTAATCTGTCTTTCCCAGCAAGGGTAAAGGCGGCCGTTAAGGGGGGCAGGTTACTGGCCTCAATTGGTTTCCACGAGTCCTATTTGGGTCCAGGTTTGGACAACATCCCATTTGTGGGGCGGGGAGCTCAAGTTCCAACCGCAGGAACCCGACGCCCTTTCTTCCGTCTGGTCAAAGTATCTCGATCAATGTTCAGAGGTTTTTTTCTTCTCCGGGAGAAACATGCATGCGCCGCACGGGGCAAATGGTCAGGCCTTCATTGGTGGTTTGGATTGGCGGGGGTTTGAACCCCTGGTTCTTGTGGAGAGTAAATCGGAAACCGGGCGGCCTTCTTTGGGGTTCTTGCATTGTCCAAGTTTGAACAAGTCCTTGACTGGAAAGAACTTGTTCCACTGCAAGCGCTTTTGGGCCACACCTGTTGCCCTGGTTGGCGTTGAAAGCACAACGCACATCTGGGTTTGATCAGTGTAGAATATTGAGCATTGTAAGAGGGAACACGACCCCATGGCCATGACGAGTAATTAGTTTCTGAGCGCATTACACTAGAGTTCATTCATGTATGATCAAATATGTATGCATACATATACGTATACATATATATATATACATACGTACATATATATATATATATATATATATATGTATTTCTCTCTTCCCGGGTCCTTTACTGTGACCACACAATTTGATGGCATAGTGATTTGCTCTCTCTCTCTCTCTCTCTCAATCTGAAATTCCAAGAGAGCCAGTGGTGCAGTTGGGTGAAAGTAGATGGCGCCACCTGTTTCCAGAGCCCCGTCGAGTAGGCTCTGGCATTTTGGGAGCTTCTTCTACTGAAAGGGTGTGTGGGTGTGGCCCCCGTTTCACTCAGAAGGCCATCAAAACGTTCGGGTAGATGAAGGTTTGCAGTCACCTTTTCACCAGGCCTCCGTGGTGAAAACGCTGAAAGCCGTCACTGAGCAGCTTGACCAGGCCTACAACTGGCTGCAGTGGACTCAAAGTATCTTGGCGAATTGGAACCCAAATGAACCCTTGGCTGGTTTATGAATCTGGGGTCAAGATTGTGGGGTTGGATTTTTAACCCATGACTCACCCATCCAAGCAAACAACCAATGATCCAACACGGAAAGTACGTATGAGGGCGGCCTGGCCTTGAACACTTTTGGGGGGGGAAAACGTGTTTCTTCTTTCCCACGGTGACTTGACACCTGCAAGGTATTTGCCGCCCCTACGGTGCCACCCTGGGCAAGAAGTCGCAGGCGCGCCAAGAGTGAAACGCTCGGCCGAGTGCGAAATCGGGGGCCCTGAGAAATGGAAGGACTCCAGTTGCTAAAGGGTCCCCGAAAGGACGTACGCCAGTGGGATGGTTTTTCTGGGCATTCCATGTCTCATTCCCTCGCAGGGAGCACCAGCAAGTTCACTTTGGATCATCCGGACCGCACTAGTCAGGAAACCCCCAACAGCTATCAGGGCCTGTTTCAACTGTCCACAAGATGCAATTCAGCAAAAAGCTGACCGCAAAGAGAACAACTTGTGGCCATGAGCTAGCTTGGAGGCACTCAAAGATCGAACATCTTGCGTGCCAAAGTTGAAGAGTGCTGCACATGGTTTGTCTGAGTGCGGAGGACAGAATGCGCTGTCACACATGTGTCGACGCAACGCCGGCTGTGATCTTTGCACGCTGAGCACAACAAACAACGAAGTGCCTAAAACAAAAAAGTCCACTGCGGCCGTGGTGGGGAATGAAATAGTGCTCGGACCATGGTTTTCCCATGCAAAGCAAACTTGATACACTGTAAGACACATGATTCCAGCAGCGAGAAGCGACTTGCATACCTGGGTCCATAAACGGAATGGGAGATGCATACTTGCATGGGTTCCTTACCAAGTAGGCTGCAAAACACCCCGCCCCGGGGCTGTGGGATCAAGGGGTTTATCCCCACTAGGATACTTTTGGGCATCTTCGCCCTTTCTGTTGTGTCACAGATTCGTGGATTCCCATTTCAACCACAGCCCCACAACCCCCCCCCGCACCCCCCCACCCCCTTTCATGCCGGAGGAGATGATTTGGGGCGCCTGGCACAGCATCGTGGGGGAGGTGGCCAAGGTGCTAAGGGCCCTGGAGCTGCCGACCAAAGATCCCTCCCACGAGCTGCTGTTGCTCTACCACAAGCTGCTGGGCGCCTCGGCCCGCATCAACCGCTCGCTCACAACCGCAACTCCGCCAGCACCGCCCCCGCTGCGAGCGCGAGTGCGAGAGATATGCAGGGTGAATGAGACATGGAAAATGCGACTGGAAAAAGCCAGAGTGGCATATTTCCCTTCTTCGGGGACCCTTTAGCAACTGGGTTCCTTCCCTTTCTCAGGGGCCCTATCGCACTGATGGCAAGTTATGAGCTCGGCCCCGCTTTGCTTTCGAAGACTTGGTTCAAAGCTTGGGCTGCTTGGCTTTGAGGACTTTGGGCAGATGCCCATGTTTTTAGTTGTTTCTATTTCTTTCTTTTTTTTGGGGGAAAGAGGGTGGGCGTGTTGGAGCTTGGGGCACTCTGAGCTTAAGGAATGTTGGAGCTTCAGGTGAGTTTTGATGTTTACCGTGTTTTTTGAAGCCCGGGTGCTTTAGGATGTCCTTAGGTGAGTTTCGAGCAGTTTTCGCCAGCTCCAAACTCTGCTTCTGCTACACCAGCCGCGCACCAATTGCGCATGTCAGCTTAACCGCCCAACAGCAGCAGCCTGGTTCGGGTGATGCTGGGGATGTTCCCGGCTCCAAGTTTAAGCCCAGTGCTAGTAACAAAAGCAGCAGTAAAATTTGACACCCTTTTTGTCTCGGGGGTTGCTTTGGAGCCTTTAGCGATGGGCGAACCGCTTTTCCAGCTTGGGTGTTGTTGCGAAGCCGCTCTTTCTGAGGTATCTTCCAGGATAGGGTTCAACAAAACACCGAATTCGGACCCTGACAAGCGGTGTATTTCATGTCGATTTCCAACCGCTTCCAGAGAAGTGCAATTTGCCGCGCGCATACACACAAACACACGCATGTGTATCTTTGGGAGGATCCCTTTCTAGGCTAGGTTGTAAGGGAAACCAAAAGAACAGACATCACACATCTTTTTTTGGGCGGACTGTGAATGGCTGAGGCCGTCAGGGTGCTATGCGCGGGTTCTTTAGAGGTCAAATTGGAAACGCCTCCCAGAACACCTCCAAACCACCAACACAAACCACGGTGTCCGTTTTGGTTGTTTTGCTTAAAGAATAGAAGGCCCTGGTTTACCTGGTGGGTCAATCATCCACCAGGGCCATCTATTTTCCAACAAGGACAACTATGCTTTTCGGAAGCTGAGGTCGTGTGCTGCCGGAGCTGTGTCCGGTTCCGACCAGTCTCTTGGCAGAGCTGCAACCCACGAGGGAGATGATGCGCTGCAGGTTTGCCAGATGGCTGTGGGTCAAAACCAGATGGTGTCAAGCTCCCGCCGCTCGAGGTGCTGGGTTCATTTCCGATTGTTGGATTCGTACCCAGACGGCGGAAGGGACATCGAGGGTTGAAGGGTTCCCAAGTCTTTGGACCCACCCCACCCTGGAGTGTGTTTTTACCGAAACGAGAGAAAAGGGGATATAACCTTTGATAGTTAGTGTCCCTAACGGATTCAAATTGCGTGCAAGACTAGCTTTTCGCTTCACATGGACGAAATTGCTAACACGGGTTGAACCAAGTTTCAGTACTGGTAAGTCAATGAACGTGTGAGAACGTTGAGAACCGCTATCATATTTTGCTCATATTCATATGCACCGAGCCTGAAGGGCTTCTGGGAAAGCTGAAGAAAGGAGCTGAGTGGCCTCTGGAATGGTTCCCAAAGGTTTTTGGATGGATGAAACGGCCATCACCTATGACAACATCGAATTTCCGGAACCGCTCCGTCTTCGCTTTATCTTGCGTGGAACACCTGACTCGCTTGTCGCTTTTGCTGTAATGGACAACCATTGTTTGAAGTGGAGGTTTTGCGAAAGTTGGCCTCATTTCGAAGTTACTACCTGGGATTGTTCGGCCTCAGATGAAGAACGTCTTGCTGAACGGCTTCTCTGCTTGTGAAGCGCTATGGAGCTCACTGGAAAACAAGAACAAACTCTCGACGAAAGCCCAGAAGCCCAAACAGCCAAGATCAGGAACGAATCCCCCAACAGATTTTGGGCGTACCAAAGCATTTCCCACATAGCTTTGCTTTCTTGCGTATTGCTTCTTGGGCTTGAGACTATTGCTTTCATTGCTTTCACTACGAGTGCTCAACTTAGTACAGTGCTAGACAGAAAAACAATGCTGCGGATAAATGGCGCTGGATTCGCCAATGTATTTCCCTTAGAACTGCTTGGAACTGTGCTTGTCGCTTTGGAGTTTTCTCTTGGTATTTGTTTGTTTTTGGTTTACTCTTTTCTTTTGATGAGAGCCTTTTGGACCGTCTCTCCATGCTGATTGCAGGGGTTGATTCCCCATTCTTCTCAACCACTGTTCTTTTCAACACACCGTTCGTTCCCCTGGTTGGATTTTGGAACGATTCGCATCCTTGGATTTTTCCCTCCACTTCCAGCCGTTTTCGCAAGGTTCCCGGGTGGTTGCCTGAAAAAGCAGACTCTGGTGAAGTTATCCCCGTTGATGGGAGCCAGGCACAAAGGCTCAGTGGAGCTCACATGTTGTTTGTGTAACGTTGTGGGTCTTTGGAGGCTACCCCTTTTGCGGGAAAGAGATCCAAAAGGAATGCCCATGTTGCGCTTCCTTCCCTGGTGGATTCCTGAGGTTTGCGAATAGTGGTTGTCCCAGATAATTATGTCAAATTCTGTGACCCTTCTGGACCAACTCTTCAAATACCCGCTTTTTGTTCAGGTGCATGTATCGAAAACCTGGGTTGCTATGGAACATGGAAACACATCCCTTTTCATTCAGGGCTTGACCTTTGTGCAAGTTGACTGCACAGGTATGCCCAGCAAAGCACCTTTGGATGAAATTCTGCTCTGCAGGCGCCCTTGTAAATCGCTTTGCAAAGAAAGGGCATGCATCTACGGGTTGATTCCCCATTCTTTCCACACATCAGTCTTTTCGAAAACCGGCCGTTTCCCTGGGTTTCCGGAGGTTGTCTGGACAGAAGGATCCCTGGATGGAATGGGGAAGGTAGCACTAGAATGCAACCAGCCAGACGGCTTTGTTCATGTGAGGTGTGTCACGAAGGTACGTATCGAGGGGGGATGTAACGAGTTATCAGATCTTGTTACAAACGGTATGTAACGAGGGTCCGCGGCTACCCCTCAAAAGAACCGCTGCCATGAATCTATATCACCTCCTTGTTCAGTCAGGGGTCATCCCTGAAGATCAGGTTTCCTGCATGGAGCCTCCCATGGACCGTCAATCCGATCGGGGTTCCCCTGTTTCGGAAAAGCCGTCCGAATCGGCGAATTCAGCCTCTCGAGCTCGAGGCTGCACCTCCGCCATCTTGTCTGTGAGCCCCGGCGCCGTGACGACCTCCTTGGTCACCTGGGACGACATCGCGCTGCCCACAGGGAAGTGGCTCGATTCGGATTTTTGGGAGTCGGAGGTCGGGTTTTTGCCTTCTGGTTTCGCTTCGAACCAGCCTCAAGAAGGGCATCCTCCAAAAACACAAGCCCATTTGTGCCTTTCTTTTGCGCAAGCATTGCGAAGGGTTCGTCCGGTCTAATCGTTGAGTAGCAGGATGCACGAGAGCCCATGCATAGCAAGATGCGCGAGAGCGCATGTCGAGTACACGTCGAGCGCACATGCAGAGCAGAATGCCAAAGAGCTCACGCGTGGCAACAGACACCATGCAGAGCAAATTGCGCGAAAGAACGCGCGCTGAAAATTGCACGAGTGCACTCGCACGAGCACACTTGCGCGAGGAAACTTGCACGACAGATAAATATGATTCTTTTCAGGCGGTGCAGCGGGATCAAACCCAATTCGCGAAAAATGACACCCTGAGCCAACCCAAAACCAGAGTAGACTCTTCCCGTTTTGTGATTGTTATCATTTGGGGAGGGACAGCATTTGTGCATAGATTTTTGCGTGAGGGCACCTTTGGTGGAACCCATTCGATCGAAACCCAAAGCTGCTTTTGTCACTCAAAGCCCTTGGACAGATTCAGGGCCATAGGAAGGTTGTGGCCCGGTTCAGAATGGTTGCAAGGAGACACGAAGGCACGAGCATTGTTTGACTAGGTCGGCATGGCTTGAAATCATATGTCATGGTCAAAACACTCTTTTTGCTTGGGGTTGGTAGGGATGGTGGATCCCTGAGGGAAGTTCGGCCACAACGAGAAAGGTTCGTACTGCGGGTTGACCAAATCCAGTGGGATCAAGTATGTATCCTCAAACATCCTGAAAGAGGTGAGCTTGATAATCCTTGATGCATAAGACCTTAGAGGGAGTGCAGACCATAAGTGCAACGGCTCCTTGGAGAGCCATGTCAACATGGCAGCCACATGGAGTCAGGCTGCTGGTGGTGGTGGAGCAGCCCCAGTCTCTCCTCTTGGAGGACTCCAGGGTTGGTTGCGTTTTCTTTTTTGCCCTGATGGCCTGAAAAGTTTTGAGTGGAACCAAAAGGTGTCAAAAGAAGCTCAAGTCATGGTTTCAACAAGGGGCGGCGAGCAAAAGGAGGATGTGCCCAAAGCATCCAAGAATCTGAAAGGTGTAGACGAGGTTTTGCCAAAATCATGAGGTGGCCGCGGTTTAAGCTATTGAATCAACGTTTGTAAATCAGTCAAGGTAATATCAGGGGCTAAAGGAATAGTACTAGCCTAGAATGTTGCCCCTTACATTTTGTCCAGTAGCAGTACTGTCAGGGGAGTACTAGTTTACTCCCACAATTTTCTAGTAAACGGTATTGTAGACATCACAACATTGTTAGCAATACCGTTGTGATAGTCTACTGGTTGTAGACAATATGTTGCGGTATTGTAGACATTACACTGTAGACACCACAATGAACAGGCATGTTCACTCAAAAAAGGCGGTGAACAGCAAGGGTCTGCCAAAGTGCGGGGCCTTAGACTGTGACTAGACACCAATGGGATCCCATTTTGGGGTAGGTGCACCCATTTTAGAGCCTATTTTAGTGGTTGGATTGGGATGTTCACTGGAGGATAAACGGGATTTTGACCCATGGCCAAATGGCTTTTGTTCTTCTTGTGTCCTGTTGGTTCCAAAGGGATCCATTTTTGTAGACAATGGCCATGGCCATGTTGTAGCCCATGTGACGCATGTCTTTTTTTTTCAGGACGGGGTGCACTCAGGCTGGGAGATCGACATCCGAAAGCCCATGCCCGCAACCATCGAAGGCGAGACCCGGGTCCGAGCGCAGGAGATGAGGATGTTTATCAAGATAGGGGTTTCAAAAAATGGCGGGCTTCCGAAAAAATGTTGGGTTTCGAGAAATGGTGGGTGTCCTTTTGGTTCTCCTTGAAATACCAACCAAATGAGAAAATGGCGGGCTTCCGAAAAAAATGTTGGGTTTTCAGAAAATGGTGGGTGTCCTTTTGGTTCTCCTTGAAATACCAACCAAACGAGAAAATGGTGGGCTTCCAAAGAATGTTGGGCTTTCACAAATTGGTGGGTGTCCTTTTGGTTCTCCTTGAAATAGCAACCAAGCGAGAAAATGGTGGGCTTCCAAAAATGATGGGTTTTCAGAAAATGCTGGGTGTCCTTGTGGTTCTCCTTGAAATACCAACCAAACGAGAAAATGGTGGGCTTCCAAAGAATGTTGGGTTTTCAAGAAATGGTGGGTGTCCTTTTGGTTCTCCTTGAAATAGCAACCAAGCGAGAAAATGGTGGGCTTCCAAAAATGATGGGTTTTCAAGAAATGGTGGGTGCCCTTTTGGTTCTCCTTGAAATACCAACCAAACGAGAAAATGGTGGGCGTTCAAAGAATGTTGGGTTTTCAAGAAATGGTGGGTGTCCTTTTGGTTCTCCTTGAAATACCAACCAAACGAGAAAATGGTGGGCGTTCAAAAATGATGGGTTTTCAGAAAATGGTGGGTGTCCTTTTGGTTCTCCTTGAAATACCAAGCAAACGAGAAAATGGTGGGATTCCAAAGAATCTTGGGTTTTCAGAAAATGGTGGGTGTCCTTTTGGTTCTCCTTGAAATACCAACCAAACGAGAAAATGGTGGGCTTCCAAAGAATGTTGGGTTTTCAAGAAATGGTGGGTGTCCTTTTGGTTCTCCTTGAAATAGCAACCAAGCGAGAAAATGGTGGGCTTCCAAAAATGATGGGTTTTCAAGAAATGGTGGGTGCTCTTTTGGTTCTCCTTGAAATACCAACCAAACGAGAAAATGGTGGGCGTTCAAAGAATGTTGGGTTTTCAAGAAATGGTGGGTGTCCTTTTGGTTCTTCTTGAAATATTCATCAAACGAGAAAATGGTGGGCTTCCAAAAATGATGGGTTTTCAGAAAATGGTGGGTGTCCTTTTGGTTCTCCTTGAAATACCAAGCAAACGAGAAAATGGTGGGATTCCAAAGAATCTTGGGCTTTCAAAAAATGGTGGGTGTTCTTTTGGTTCTTCTGAAATACCAACCAAACGAGAAAATGGTGGGCTTCCAAAGAATGTTGGGTTTGCAAGAAATGGTGGGTGTCCTTTTGGTTCCCCTTGAAATAGCAACCAAGCGAGAAAATGGTGGGCTTCCAAAAATGATGGGTTTTCAAGAAATGGTGGGTGCCCTTTTGGTTCTCCTTGAAATACCAACCAAACGAGAAAATGGTGGGCGTTCAAAGAATGTTGGGTTTTCACGAAATGGTGGGTGTCCTTTTGGTTCTTCTTGAAATATTCATCAAACGAGAAAATGGTGGGCTTCCAAAAATGATGGGTTTTCAGAAAATGGTGGGTGTCCTTTTGGTTCCCCTTGAAATACCAACCAAACGAGAAAATGGTGGGCTTCCAAAGAATGTTGGGTTTTCAAGAAATGGTGGGTGTCCTTTTGGTTCTCCTTGAAATACCAACCACACGAGAAAATGGTGGGCTTCCAAAGAATGTTGGGTTTGCAAGAAATGGTGGGTGTCCTTTTGGTTCTCCTTGAAATACCAACCACACGAGAAAATGGTGGGCTTCCAAAGAATGTTGGGTTTGCAAGAAATGGTGGGTGTCCTTTTGGTTCTCCTTGAAATGCCAACCACGCGAGAAAATGGTGGGCTTCCAAAGAATGTTGGGTTTTCAAGAAATGGTGGGTGTCCTTTTGGTTCCCCTTGAAATACCAACCAAACGAGAAAATGGTGGGAATCCAAGGAATCTTGGGTTTGCAAGAAATGGTGGGTGTCCTTTTGGTTCTCCTTGAAATACCAACCACACGAGAAAATGGTGGGCTTCCAAAGAATGTTGGGTTTTCAGAAAATGGTGGGTGTCCTTTTGGTTCTCCTTGAAATAGCAACCAAACGAGAACATGCTGGGCTTCCAAAGAATGTTGGGTTTTCAAGAAATGGTGGGTGTCCTTTTGGTTCCCCTTGAAATACCAACCAAACGAGAAAATGGTGGGCGTTCAAAGAATGTTGGGTTTTCAAGAAATGGTGGGTGTCCTTTTGGTTCTCCTTGAAATACCAACCACACGAGAAAATGGTGGGCTTCCAAAAATGATGGGTTTCAAGAAATGGTGGGTGTCCTTTTGGTTCTCCTTGAAGTACCAACCAAACGAGAAAATGGAGGGTTCCAAAAAATGTTGGGTTTTCAAGAAACGGTGGGTGTCCTTTTGGTTCTCCTTGAAATACCAACAACACTAGCTGCTTTTCCATCATTTTGACAATCACTCGCCTGGCTATTTCGTCAAACAGCAAATCTGGCTATTCTTGCAAAGATTTGCGTCCCGTCACGAGACAAGCAAGTGTTTCCTGCTTGCTGGCCCCACGAGTCACAGCTGGACCGCGGTGGAATGTTTCCAGTGTATCTGTTCATATGGCTGCCCATGCTACTGGCTTTGAATGGCTTGTGGTCGATCCGGCTTATTTTTGACGGATCCCCTATTTTCCCGTTTGGCCACATCTTATTGTAAGGGTGGTACCAACATCACCATTTGAACACCTAATTTGACGTGAATTTTCTTTCTGAGCGATGTCAAAATTCGGGGCACCTTATCAAAACTGGGGATCCTTTCGGGTGGTTGCTGACCTACATGGGAGGCGCAATTATGACATCATCCGGTGGTGTTCAGCCGGAGGTGTCGACAGCCAGCTTCCCCAGCGAGTCTTCGGATGTCTCTTGGACAAGTCCAGCAATGGCTACGTGGCTGTGAGGCCGCAAGATGCCAAGGCGGCGTGTCGAAAGAAATCAGTGGAGCCAAATTGTTCCGGGACTCTGATCAAAGCTTGCCGAATCTTCTTCTGCTTTCCATTTCTTCAAGTTTCAGGTCCATTGTTGGAGAACCAAGGTCGCCTTACAAATGTTTCCGCGGGGCTTGGGGCCAAAACCCCCAATCAGTGAGCCGCCTGCCTTTTGGGGGAAAGAACAAGTCATGTTCTGAACTCGAATCATACATTGAGTATGGGGCTAGGAATTTCGACGGAACTACTTTTGCTCTTGAAGTACAAGTGGAGCCGGCGAAGCCGGTGGGCGGAATTCTCAAAAGATACAAACACTATAATTATCTTGCTCTTTCTTTTCTTCTTTATTTCCCTCTGCTTTCGGTTTGTCATCAAATAGATGCAGCAAGAAGCTGCCCTTGGATTCTTTACACATCTTACCGCAACGCTTTCATACCAGGTTCATTATGACTCAGTTGAATCGGCGGAGGTTTGGAGGAGGGTCATGACTGGTAGGTACTGTAGATATTTACAATTTTTGAGTGATACCGTGAACCAATGCCCCCAGTTTAGTCAATGCTTCGAGAGTCGCAGGGTCGTTGTCGGGTAAACCCTACATCTTAAGGGATCCTTTTGCTCTGGCTTTTTGACTCTTCGGTTCCAACCTTGCCGACCAACCCTAAAGGCCACTGGTTCCAGAACATGACTGCTTCCAACCATAAATAAAGACGTGGGCAACTCTTGGCGGGTCAGTTTGACCAACCCTGACTGGGAAGCGGCCACGGTCAGGGTGGTTGTTTTTGGGCGGTGAAACCTTTAACAACCTGATTTTGTTTTGGCAATTGACAGCTTATGGAGGTAGTGTTTTTTATTTTTCTAGATCTGGTTTTTTGTTAGGTCCGGTGATGGGCTGGTTGGTTGGTTGGTTGGTTGGTTGGTTGGTTGGTTGGTTGGTTGGTTGTTTGGTTGGCTGGCTGGCCGCATCCCCGGCATCACCAGCATCACTTGGACCTGAGGTTGCCTATTGGCTCTGATTGGGTTGGTTTAAGTTAGGGGGTTTTGGCTGGGTCTTGGGGTGGTTTGGGGTTGATTTAGGCGAAGCGAAGGGCTGACATCCAGGCTGCTGTTGGGCGGGTTTAGGGTTGACTTTGAGTGGGTTTGGGGTGGCTTGGAGCTGATTTGTGTTAGGTGTGCTGCTGGTTTAGCAGCGGCTTTAGAGTTGCTTTAGGGTGTGGTTATGAGAGTTTTGGTCGAGTTTCAACACCAACCCTAAACTCGACCCCCACCTTGTTTCCTCTTCTTTGGCTCTCATATACCAGCGTCATCTTCTTAAGGGGACTTATTTTTTTAAATCTACCTTGTTTGACCCAAACCCATGAGGCAGGAACCGATTCAACATCAGCGGGTTGAAACCAAAAGGCTACTGAGGATAGGTCCAGCCTGTTTTTTGGAGGTCGTAGGGCTTGGAGGAAACACCCCTCCCCCATTTGTTGGTTGATTTCTCATACCCAATCGTCCCCATTTGTTGGTTGATTTCTAACCCCCAAACACACCACCCCCCGAACACCTCCAAAAGGGTCTTCGTCCGTCCTATGGGCCCCAGGCGGCCGCTCTGCCGGATCGGGGCTTCTGCTTCTGCGCCGGCAGCGTGGGCGCGGACGGGAACGTGAGCGCCGCGTGCCGGCACCGAGGACGGCGGACTTTGCAGCGAAGCGGGTTTGGGGTTTGGGAGTGCATCGGAACCTCTCTCCGGATCCAAAACGGCATATTTTTGAACGAATGGTCTGGAGGCTTTTTGAATGGTCTAGAGGCTGTTTTGTAAGGTCTAGACGAACGATTCGGCGAATCAGAAAATTTGGCATTTGATGTGATGGCCTTGAGTTTGGCTTTTGACTTTTTGGGATTGTATTTTCTCCCACTTGGTCATCTTTCATGTTCTTGGGCAACCTCTGTAGTCAACACACAAAGTGGGCAGCTTCAGTTTCTCGGGATAGCTTGTAGTGGTAAGCAACAAAAGTTATCAAACTTGTTTGGCAGCTGAGGACTGCGCAGGGTGTCAAAACTCAGGCCGTGCTGGGTTTCGAGGTGTGCAGCCTCTAAAAAGACCCGGGCAGCCTGCCGAAACGTTGGACCCTGTGATTTCGGGTGCTTGGTGCTCAATCCCCCTTAGCAGGCAAGGAGTCACACGCCCATGACTCTGCCGGACTCCGCCACGACTCCGCCACTTGGTCGGAGAACAAAGGCGTTTCGCCTCGACGCAACGCAAAGTCAAGCTTCTGGCGCGGAGTCGCGGAGTCAGGCGGAGTCGTGTCTGGGGATCCTTTCCCCCATAGCAGGACATCCGGTTTTAAATATATACTATTATATTAAACCCGGACAGCGCAGACGGCCCCCCGAACAAGCTCCTCTGTGCTAGGAGTCTCCGACGACGTTGAACAGCAAACACGATGTTTTGCTACCAATCATGTTCCCATCCCAATAGTGGGTTTTTTTCTGAAAACGAGCCAACATCGTCAGAATAGTGATATTTTTCCGTAAAGGAGGTCTAACATCGCCCCCAACTTACTAATGCGCCAGGCTGATTTTTGTCCCGCGTCGCTTAGGGGACGGTCGACTTGTCCCTTTCTGCGCTTTGCGGTTCGTTAGGGTTTTGGAATGCAGAGCGCTAGTTGGTTGACCATAGCCACTGCCATTGAAAAGACCGGCAGGGTTGCACTTGTGGCTTGTGATTTAGTTGATCCCGTCTTCCAAGTAGAGCCGATCATCGGATTAGTTGACCCAGCGAATTCCAGCTACCAAAATAGTAGGTAACCCTTTGCCAATACAGTGGTAACTCTTCGTTTTTGGTTTTCGGTCTGAATGAGTGTATCGGCAAACATCTCTCCCGAAACTGGGGACCGCCTTTGTGGCTGGACATGGGCATGTGTTAAAAATAGGGACTTGGATCCCACTCGAACAGGGGATTCGTGTTGCAACACCCAATGAAATTGTTCCTGGGTTCCTGTTGCGAGGGTGAAACAGGCGCCCAAATGGACTGGGTTTTGGGCTGTTCATCTGATTTGCTCGCCTGGCAAGCCAACGCCAAACACGGATTGGGGCACCCAAATCAATCAATCAGGGGTTAACATCGTTTTTGGCGGCCAATTGGAAACCCTTTGCGAAGCGGGGAACACTACCGAGCCTCAACCCCCTCCAACATGTCGCGCGCAAAAAATATTTTTCAAAACGGAACGGCAGAACACAACGAGTGTTTGCGGAAGGAGAGGCCTGCAAAGAGGGCTCCGATGTGGCGCTGGACCTGTGGTCCCCGGTGCGCCGGGCACTGCCTTTGCCGGACTTCGACGTGTGGCCTGGGCAAAGAAGCCGGGGACAGGGACAGGAAGAGGAGGGGGGGGTGGTTGGAGGGGGGGGAGTTCTTGGTTCTGTTTTAGTCTCAGAACCCTTTTTATCTGTTTTTTCAGCTTGATTTTTCTTCATGGGGTGTTGCAAGCAAGGGCTCACCCCAACCTTTGCAATCTGCATTCCCCCCCCCCCCCCCCCGCCCCCCCCCACACACGCATACAAGATCCGCCAATTTTATAACAATCCCTCACGAGAGCTAGGCACCCCTAAAAGAAAGCCAATTGAAGTCGTTGGCTGGGGCCTCAACAAGAAGTCAAGTTAAACACGCAGGGGGACCCAAAACTCAGCCTCCCACGCAGCCATCGCCCCAGCTTCCTCCTTTCTCACCCCACCCACCTCACACATGGGACTGCCGGGCAGAAGCTTTTGGCTTAAGGGGCACACTAGAATTGGCTGTTGTTTCTACCACCCCAAAAAGGGCGCACGGAAAGTCTAATGGAGTCTTCGGCTTTTGGCTTTTTCTTAAAAAACCGCAGGGTTAAAACAAAAAAGGATAGTACAAAACGCAGGCTTGTGTTCGCTTTGGCTATCTCTTTGGCTTGTGTTCTCTTGGCAGTCAGGTGGACGGAGCGCTACAAGGAGCTCCGCTCGGGGCTCTGCGGGGATGGCAAGGCAGGGCGGGGTGGGGTGGGATTGGGGGCTGCTTGGGTCAGCACGGCCGAAGGAAGTTGCAAATCCTCAGAGCATTTTTTCAGCGTTTGGCAAAAAAAAGGGGCCAATAGCATGGACGATTCGAAGCCTGCCCAACACTTTGGAAAGCGGCATGGCCAGGTGCTCGCTTTGGCTTTTCCGGCAAGATCCATGGGGGCGCTTTCGGGTTTCTCCAAGCGTCCGAAAGGGTCCTAGTACCTGTTTGTGCGAAAAGAATACGTCGCCTCCCAATGCGTGGGGTCACCCGGCAAGAAGAGGGGTCCGCCTTTTGACCTTTTGGGTTTCCCTTTTTGCAGGCCCAGCTTTTATTCTTGCTGGTTCTCAGGCAATGAGAGACTGAACCATCCCTCGTGCTTGTGGTTTCCTTTCAGGGATCCCACGAAGTTTTGGGATTCCTGCTATTAAATACCTTGCGTATGGTGAGGAAACAGCTTGCGCGTATGTGCCATGGTCAAAACACCCTTTTGCTTGGGTAGGGATGGCCATCCACCTTTAGAGAACCAAAGATTCTAAGGGAGCCATATATGAGTTCATTTCCTTCAAGTACAACAACTGTTTTCTCCACTGGGTGCACCTCCTTCAACCAAATGTTTGTTGAGGGTAGACTACATATGGAACAGAGTGGGAAACCGTGACATTTTCTGCGTACCCCGTTTGTGCCTTCCGAAAAGGTGCCAAAGCAGGCCAGCCATTTCTGGAGTTTTGGGACATGGATCCCCGCGAAGAGTCCATCCTAAACAAACATGCATATATATATATATAAATATATATATGTATATGTATATCTTTATGTAAGTCTACCCTAAACAAACAAATACATATATATATATATATGTATATATATATATATATATGTATATCTCTCCTTATATGCATATATACATACATGTATATCATTTTTTGCCAAGTCCAGGTGGATGATTGGGAGGCCTGCGACGACGGCAACGCCCAGGGAGGGGACGGCTGCGGCTCCGACTGCCGCCGGATCAGCGCGGGATTCACCTGCGAGGAGTGGTTTGCCAGCGACGAGAGGAAGTTTCAAGGAACTTGCCGCGGGGTTCATACTGTGGATGGACAAAATCCCGCACTACTCTGAAACCATGGAAACCATTGTTTGTTGGCATTTACCGGGGCATCATCCTTCCAGGGTTTCCCAGGTGGTGCAGGATTTTGTTCATCCACAGTAGGTTTCCTTTGTTAATGTTAGCCCCGGATGAAGTTAAACCCCTGGATGATTTTGATTAGGCGGTGTCCCCTTTTAGTGCATTCAGACCACTTTTGGAGGGAACTCTCCCCTAATTGTGGGACGGGTTCATACGTGGCTGTGGTTGTCAAAACCGTTTTTTGATCCCATTTTGGGGTAGGTGAATTGACTACCCATTTTAGAACCTATTTTAGTGGGGATTGGGATGTTCACTGGGGGTATGGGAGGGTTCATACTGTGGATGGACGAAATCCATTTCGCACCACAGGAAACCCTGGTTTAGGATGATTCCCCTGTATATACATGCCAAGAAACAATGGTTTGCATAGTTTCAGAGTGGTGCTGGATTTCGTCCATCCACAGTACGTTTCCTTTGTTGGGTGATTTGCACTTGTTGACTTGTTGGGGCAACTTTTTGAAATGAGCTTCCTTTTGGTGATGTTCACAGGCATGGAAGGAGCCCAGGTTTAAGAAAGCCCTGTGTGGGTGACTATGTTAAAGGATCAAAGAGGGTGAGCCGCAATCGCAGGTCAAAGTAGGATGCAGGCGGATCGCTTTGAACAATAAGTGCTGATCCCAAAACGTTTCCTGTAAAGATCGATTTGGGGTTTGGGACACGCGAGCCTCCAAGCTACCACAACATCGAGAGGAGGGCCCCCCCATCCAAATCAACCAGGGTTCTGCTTAATCCGAAGTCAGAGACCTGTTGCTCAATTCGAAGGCGATGTGAGCAGAGAAGTCATTGAATCCATGAAACAACCTCCCGTGTGATGGTAGCCCAACACGACAGCAAGTCCTTGGAACCCATTAGACACGTGCGGGGAAAGGGCGTTTCAAATGACGGACCCTCAAAATGATGAGCTTCTTTTTTGGTTTCCTCTCAAAATGCTTTTTGTTTCCTCTCAAACGGCGGGATTTGTTTGGTTTTCCCCGCAAGATGGCAGATTTCTTGTTTCCTTTTGGCTTCCTAAAATTCCCTTGGGAATCCCAGAACTACTTGTGGCAGTTGCGCAACAGTCGGCGTTTCCCAATGGATCCCAGACAGCAGCCATCGTCCTTCTTGTTTTTGTGTATTTTGTTCCAAGCGCCGCGTTTGGGGCGTTTGGCCCGGCGTCTCCGGAGAGGCGGGGAAGCCATGCTTCACGACCTGCGGGGACGGCATCTTGGCGGGGCAAGAAGACTGCGACGATGGGAACGTGGCCTCCGGGGACGGATGCTCTGAGAACTGCGTTCTGGAGACTTTCTGCACGCGCAAGGACCCCAACCTGCAGGCGGAGTTGGGGAAAAAGAGCCACGGAGGCGGAGTGAAAGGTTGTCGCTTTTTTCTTCCTCTTTTGAAGGAAGCGCAGGAAACTTGCTAAATTCGGCTCCAGCTCGAATGTCGCAGCTGTTCAGTACAAAAGTAAAGCGCAGCAGAGAGGGTTGGGCCAAGATGCTGGCGCTGAGTTGCCTGCATCGAGAAAGACGTGAGCGGACACTTGCACAAAGGACAGAGAAAGCTTGCACAGAGAACTTGCGCAGAGAAACTTGCATGGATATCTTGCACAGGGAAAACTTGCGCAGAGATCTTGCGCACCTTGTTTTGCGGAGAGCCTGCGGAGAGAGCTTGGCGCAGTGACAGAGAAAGCCTCGCCACAATTCTGCCGCAGCGCCCGCGTACTGTTGTCTCAAGCTTGGTGACTTGATGAAACAACCACCGCGGCTGGATGCTTTCGGGCCGTCCCCTATGCGAACGGTGGTTGCTTTAAAGGGATGGGATACGAAAGGTTTCTTTCGACTCCCCGCTGCTCGAGTGCGCCACAATCAAACCTGGGGTAGACGAAGACAACTCCGCCTTGATCCTTTACCCTGGGCTTTGGGTAGGCCCTTTCGGGTAGGCCAGGCTTTGATGACTCAAGTGAAGATGAGGCGTCGCCTTAAGTGCTTCTTGGGGACCCCATCGCCAGGAGACCCCCCCCAAGACCCCACCCATAGAACCCCAAGAAGCGCGAGCAGACTACCAGGTCTTCCGCCTGACGAAGAAGAACCACAGCGTGTTGTCCTCGCAGCTTCAGCGGTCCTTGGAGGAGCTGTAAGCCATGGGGGTCAGAGGCCAAACCAAAGCGTGTTGTTTTTCCTTTCTTTTTCTTCCTTTTTTTTTGGGGGGGACTTGCTTTTTGGTGATTTTTGTGTTGTGGGGTGTCCTATTTTGGTTTGGAAGGCAGAGTAGAGCCCATGTTTCTTGGTCAATTGAGCATGGCAAGCCAAAGGCTCCTTTCAGGGTGAAACTCATGCAAGTGGCCCAATGGTCGCTGAGTCCCCGAGGGGGTGCTATTCACTTCCCCACACTCCTCAAACCCTAACAGTGGTGTTAGATCTCTTGCTGATGACTGCGCGCAAAGTTTTAGTTTTTTTTTTTTTTTTTTTTGTGGGGGATTTTCCGAACCAGCAATTTTGTCACATTCTAAATCAACGAGTTATTTCACATCTCTTTTTCATCTCCGCTTGATGCGATTTTCCCATCTGAATTTTGTCTAAACGGTGCCCCCAGCGCATTTCGCCCGGTGAACGGGATATGGAACTGTTCCCGGACTGCAGGGCTTGCGGATGGCTTTCTCAGCCAGAAGGTAAGCTGAATGAAGCCCCTCAAACTCAAAAAGGGGGCCCAACTCAAAAAGCCATCTTTGAGGATACCGTTTTTGGATGGCAAGAGGAAGCCCGTTTTTCCAAGTCTTTCGCGCAATCGCAATCTCGCCAAAACAGGTGCAGCCTGGAGTTAGTGCCGCATGTGTTTGCAAAAAACTGCCTTGCAGGTGGTCAAGGTTGAGTGGACCCAATCCCAAAGAAAGTCAAATGAAACCCGCAAAAATCCATGCCCAAAGGAGCCCGTGATGCACGCGGCAAACGCGGCCGGCACTCTGCACGCTGCCGTGCCGGTGCTGACCGGCTCTGTGTCCTGCGCTCACTTCGACTGCCCAGCCGGATGCAGTGCCCAGTGGCTTCGGAAGGAATTGGAATCGGCTTTGCGCGCCGCGAAAACGAGGTTCGAGAGTCCCCGGTCTCTGAAAACATCCCCAAAACGGTTCCAGATCCTGGTCGTCGAAAATCAGGGTTTCGGCCGCTGGATGTCGTTGCTTGTGTTTTCGAGGTTCTCTTTGAACTGGAATCAGAAGACAGTGCGAAAGAAAAACCAAACCCCTGAGTTTCCTCGTGGGGCCATTATTTTTTCTTTCTCAAACAACAGGGAGCCACACTCAAAGGGAAAACACAGAAGGCCTTCAAGCCCAGCCAGGAACCTTAGAAAGGTTTCGGATTGCAAGACAAAAGTCTGGGCCTAGGCCCTTGTGCCTCCACCGGTTTGATTTTGGTTCAATCATTGGCGTGTGGAATCCTGCCTTTCTTCTGGGTTTAGTTGGGAGTGCTTTGCACTGTCAAGATTATTTGGAATCCAACATGTTTTCCCAAAATTTCACCTTTCTTGGAGAACCTCATGGAAGTGTTCAATTCAGCAAAACGTCAGCTCTAAACAAAGGGGCTTACCTTTAAGGTATCTTGGAGAACCTTACTATATATTTCCGTACCTTCAAGCAGAGTCCCAGGATATTTCCTCTAGATAACGGTTTGGATGTGGATGTGTGGATTCACCCCTGTGGATTCCTAAAAGATTACCAAAGAATTGGACCAACAGATTTGGGAACGCGGGGGGAGGGGGGTAACCTCTCGAGGCCATGGCCGGAGTCCATCCTCTGTGGAGGCGACAAATGCGACAACTCCGACGTGTCGCGGTGCTGCCTCTGCGAATCGAGGGGGCAGAGGTCCCTTGGACGTCAGCGTCGGTGAGAGCGCAACACCTGGGGGTTGATCAAAAGGTCCCACAAGCATGCGATGACCATGAGGGAAATCGCAGAAACAGCCGACTTTCACCACATGAGTGTCCAGCAAAACCTCTGAAAGACCAATATGTAAGGGGCTGGACATGACATACCAACATGTGCGGTAGCACGTGCCAAACGCATGCGAAACGATAGGGTTGCAAAAAGAAACGATCACCGACTAAACATGATTTTGTGTACGGGGCTACTTTTATGTACGGAAATGAGCAGCTGAGTGCATTTCCTCTACTACACTTGTACTGAAAAGTTGTGACTTTTGAGCAGGAGCTGCGCAAGTGCACTTCCTCTACTACACTTGCACTGAGTTGCGAGCCGGGCCGCCAAAGTGTACTTCCTTTACTACAGTTGTGCTGAAAAGTTGCGACTTCCGAGCGACTTGTAAGCTGGCAAAGTGCTTCGTATTCTCGTGAAAGGAAAATGCACAAAACCCTTTTGGGTTACGTTGCTCACATGGGAAAACTTCGCCATTGTCACAACTGGGGATCTTGTGGGGAATATTGCTCAACCCCGACTTGGTCATTTAAGCGGGTGTTTTTTTTTTTAAAAAACTGGTCTCATGCTTATAGTCTAAAGTAGTTGAGGCCGAAAAGCATTTATAACCATCTTGGTGGAAATGAAAGTGAAAAGGTTTTGAGCGCTGCTTTTGTCCTTCAATGAGGAAGCCCCAAAATGATAAAGGTGTCTCTTAAAAACCAACCATCTGGGTTCCCCTACAAAATCAAGTGAGCTGAGGGTGATTTGACTTTGGCACTTGGCACTTGGATCAGACCTCAGGAGCGTGAAGGGCCTGGGCATGGAGCCGTGCTTTTCTTGGCAGGCGGGCTGAGGGCAATCGGCTGTGTGGGATGTTTAGTGGAATGTCTCGCAAAATCAGGGAAGGGCTGGAGGCAGTTGGAGCATGGGGTTGGGCCGCGCGACCTGGGGGCTTCGCCGTCTCTACACGAATTTCACCAGAGCAACGCGCAAACTTTGTTTGGGCTAGCGACGCTGTTAACGATGCCCGAGCGGCTCGCCCTTTCACTCGTGGCCGCCCACCAGACTGTACGCAACAAGCCTGCCATGATGAACAAGCCCACTTCTGCTCACGATGGGGACTGCGCGCAGGCAGGCCAGATAGTAAGTGCGTCCACTATACTGCGCATGCTGAAAACAGGACAGGCTGACCAGATGAGAACACACCCGCCGCTGCACACGTGCAGTCGGCCTATTCTATGCGCTGCTAGTTTCGGCTGAAACACACGTCATGCTCCTCTTCATCGCCGCTGTGCGTGTATGACACCCCACCGTACAAAGAATCCCCATTGTTCATTGATGTGCTTTGAGGACATGTGCAGCGGATTGCATTTCTGCAGGGAGTTCTGTTTTTTGGGTCAAAACAACGGCTTCGAAAGCTGTAGGGGGAGGGGAACGCGATCCACAACATGAGAGTTGTGGATATTGGACAGTTGGAGCATGTGGACTTATGTTGCGTTGGCAGGGCTGTTCAGGCTGTGTAGCCCGATATTTTTGCAGACTCACCCTGAGCTTGTTTGCCAATGGAGTCGCCACCCTATCATTTTGGGTCAGCTGACCGCTCATGTTTGGTGTTCAGAGTTGGGCCAGGAATTGCGACTGGGCTCACCGAAGCAGTTGGCAAAGTGCAGCGATTCCACCGGGGAAGGGTCCCGTACTTGGGGCATGCCGGTGATTCTTTGTGAAATCCCGGTGATTTGCCCGGAGATGTTGGGATGTTTCGTTGAACCCCTGGTTGCGTTATTTGTTGGGAGTTGCAACAACTTCTGTACCTTCCACGAGAAGAACCCTCAATTGGGAAGGCCATTTTTCACGAGGAGATCCTTCTCAAACTATATTTCACCCAACAAGGGAGGATTACATCTCGCATTCCCGGCATACTAGAAACATCATATGTAACTTCGCCGTCATTCTGTGAACAGAAAAATATGTCCGTAGCCTTGGCACATGGGCGACCCTCAGAAGCTATAATCTAGATAGAGAGAGAGAGAGATTGAGAGTCGCCAGCTCCATGTGAGCCGCGGCCCATTCTTTCTTCACCAACTAACCAGGCAACCCAGATCGTCATACTGTCTGACAAGTTTTCAAAACTCAGTTCTAGCGAGGCACCTATGTTGAACAAAGTGCCCGTTTTTTGTTCTCCATGGTTGCTCCCGAGTCTGGGTCGTGTTCTGAGGCCTAAGGCAGGGGGAAGAAAAAGCCCGAAATTGTGGGGATGAAGCTTCGGCCCTTGGAAAGCAATCTCAGGCAATCTCATGGAAATGTTACCTCCAAGTGCGCAATCAAGAGAAATTCCCACTGATTTGTCCATCCACAGTATTATTTTTCTGTGGGGTGAGATGCTGCGACCATGCTCTATGGTGTCAAAGGAACATAAAGGAATCCCATTTAGTCATAAGGACACCATGGTCATATTTGATTTTGAAAGCTCAAAAAAGCATTCCATTTCTCTTTGTCCCAGCTTCCAGCATTTGTTAGGTCTGGATTGGAAGGTTTCAAAGCTGGGGATAAGAGACGGCGAAGGAACATCTCTCTGACGTTCCTTTTTTTCCTTCCTTTTCTTTGTCTTTTTTCTTTCGGAGATCCCAATCCCTCTTCCAGAAACCAGACACACACGGGAAACTGGGCATTTGTGAAAAAACAAGAAGCAGGCCCTTCTGTGCTCTCAGGTGGACGATAGTGGAAGTGTGCCTTCTGTGGAGGAGGTAGTGTCTGCTTGTGGTGGAAAACGTGGATACATCCTGGCGGCCATCAAGGAGGGTGGGAATCAATCATGGGAGTGTGTCAAAATCCGAAAAAAGACCCCCAGGAGTTTCCTAGCGCTTTCTGCGGGCTGTGATCGAATCCTTGCGTGGCTTTGCGGTTACCTGGTCTTTCTTGTTCTCTGGATAACACATGGGGCAACTTGTTACTGGGTCTAATCCCGCAATCGGAAGATGTTGGCGGCCAAAGAACACGGAAAATCGAACTCGTACCATTCTTCTCTGCAGCGCAACAAAGAACAGGGCTAACTACATGTATCCTTCAATCATCACCCGTTTGAACAACCTTTAGTTGGTGGCGTGCATTCGTGGTTTGGATTTGGATTTGAACCCCTGGGTGTTGCAGAGGGCAAATGGGAAACCATCACTCACCTCCAAACCACCAAATTCCAAACCACCCTTTTTGCGGGAAGCGGAGAACTTGTCGGGTCAGACAGTTTTTCAGAGGCTTGGTCTCTCTCTCCAAGGTTTTGTCCGTGCCATGGACCCCAATCAAAGCATCCTCCAAGTCCAAACCGTTGAATCTGAGATGGTTAGGGAAATCAAGGTGAAAACCTGTACATAGCCATGATTTTTAATAGGGAACCACCTCTCAAGTGGTTGGCGGACATGAACCCCTGCCTGAAAAATGTCCACCAAAGGGTCCCACATTGGAAAGCAGACCCACATTGTGGTTGTACACCCCATTTCCCTGGCAGGACGGGAAGTTCTTGGCGAGGCATGAGCTCCTCTTGCCGCGGGGCACCTTTTTGAAGGAGGCACTGGAGCAGGCAAGGGGCCCAGCCAATGAGCTATGGACAAATGATAAAAGTCGTTACTAGAGAGAACCCGTCTCAGGCTTCCAAGGCACAGCAACAATTAGTCGTTTCATTTGCGCCCCCCAAAAAAATTGGCGCAGCTTTCATTGCTCCACTGGCCAGTGGCCCCTCCAAAAGTGGCAGTGAGCCATTCTGAAGAAATGTAGATGTGACTAGGACCGGATCTCAACGCCCACCCAAAGCCTCAAAGTTTTAGTTCCAACCATCCCCCTGGTCATTGCATTGTGCATAGCGTGCATAGCCCATATCCTTTTCATCTAAGAGCTCAAACTCCAAGACTCCAATGGCAAAGCGCCGCATCGACAAGGGTCCACTGAACTGACCCTTGATATTGGTAGGCTTGGGAGATCAACGTGGGATCAAACGGAGGGGATCAAAAGGCTCAAGATGTAGGCCCTTTCTCCATGAGGTCTTACTGTGGATGGCCGAAATCGTCACACGCGGTTTTGTCGGTCCATCCCCCACTTGCCCAGTAGCGCCCTTTTGTTCTTTTTTTTGGGGAAGGGTTCCCCTTTACACTCAACCAACCAAAGAAGGATGCCCTTTTTTCCCATGGCCATAGGGCATCTGAGATCCTGAGTGTATCATTGATCCCAGGGGGGCACTTTCCCGGTGTCCAGCCAGCTGCTCAGCTTGAGCTTGAAGGTCAAGAAACTGCCAGGACGGGCCTTGGAAGAAACGGAAGCCATGAGAAGTCTCTTTCGACTCTCCCTGGTTTCTGGGGGGGTTTTGGGCAGTGGGGGTTTTAGATCGACCTCCAATGCCCCCAAAACAGAAGGGGCTCCTCTATGTCCTCGCAAAGCGGCGACCCTAGTACACCAAGGGTTTTGGTCTAGCATACCGCTTTGCAATCTGTTTTAATTGTAGTTGTTTGCTGTGTAGGCCAGTTCGTTCTTGGTCGGAGAAGGACTATGGGGCTGACAGGGTGGGAGCTTTCTCCTGTTCCATTCCTTGTGTGTCTGCAAAGAGCATGGGCCAACCTGTTCGAAAGCAGGAGGAGGCACCCGCTTCGGGTACTACTGCGCGGGCTCCGGGGCTGATTGCCAGCTTTGGCAGGCCGACCAAAGGTCTGTCAGGTGGTTTTGAGGCCTTGCTTGGCCCAGTCAAGAATGCCTCAACTTCTCAGCATTCAACGATGAAGTTGTCCTTGTACTTATGACCGGTTCTGAAGCCACAAATCCTCAATGAGCTTGGAGGCGTAATTTAATTTTGACACTGGCTTGTATACTGCTTTTTTGTTTGGGGTTTGAGGATATTACGTCAAAAAAGTCACCTGGCACATAGAATATTTGGCAAAGGAACCCTGTGTGCTAAATGGGCTCGGGCAGGCCCCGAACAACATGTTTTTCCACTGCGGTGAATTGAAACTCAGCGGTGCATTCATTCTCCCAGAAGAAGAACCCTTTTCACGATGTAACAGGAAACCAAAAGGACAACCGTGGTTACAACCTAATACAGTTAAGACAAGGGGCGAAATGAGCACCAGTTGGCTTCAGCGTACCCCCACGTAGGGCAGGTTGTTTCAGGTAACCCTGAATTGGTGGCTTGGATCTCTGCTTTGGGGATTCGAGCCTCTGGGTCTTGCAGAGGATGTGAAACCACCCTGGATGCGAAACCAAGGCACCAATCCCAACCGCCAATTAGAGAGAAAAATAACTCGACATACAGTGGTGTGTTTTTAGTTTGTCACATCTTTGAATGACTGCTACAATCGATCTTGTTTGGTCCACCTTCTTAAAAAAAACAGATACAAACCCCACCCACCCCCTGCCGTCTGGTTTTTGTTTCAAGCGAGCGCCTTCGAAGCTGATGGCAGGTGACGCTGGGCGCCAACAGCTCCCAGCTGTCCAGGGAGGCCATGCCCTTCGCCGCCTCCCAGCGGGGGGGGAACCGGGTGAGGGAGGCCCAGGAGCGGGCCGTGGGGTGGGGCGGGTCGGCGGTTTTTGGGGCCGGTCCCGGACGAGAAGGAGGGGGTTGGTTCAGGGAGCGGTTTGGGCCGGTTTGGGGATACCAACCACTTGCCAACCGGTTACGGGGAAATTTGTCTATTCACATGTGAAAACAGGAGCCACTTACGGCGCTGGTCAGGATGGCTGTTTCTCCATGCTCCTTTCCACGCCGGCCTCGGCTTTTCTGGTGGCCTTACTCTGTCCTGGTTTCTCCCTGCCTGGGGGTTTTGCGACGTTTCTGCCTTCGGTGCCGCCCCCAGCTCCTGCTCCCTCGAATTTGAGCTCTATAGGGAGCCCATCTTTGGATTGGCTTCTTCGTATGCCGCCTGGCAGTATTTGTGGTGGATCTACCACGCGCATCAAGGGGCGCAGCCAGAGACCAGATAGGGCTTTATCAACCGCGACCTCGCTCTTCAGTACCAAGTCATCAAGGGCTTTTTCGGGCCAGAGCGGCCAGCGTAAGTTGACTTGGCAACATTTGCTGAGATGGCCGGCCCCTCTTTTTTGAGGGAAGCCAACAGGAGGGTGTTTGAACAAACGAGGCCTAGACCATACAAGTTGGCTGCACCCGCTTTTACATGTCACTGTCCACCAATCCATTTTTCCCCAGCTGAAAGGTTCGGGGTCAATGGGCCCAAATAAGCTCTGGGGTGGTTCGGAGCAGCTTTCATGGAGCGTTCTTGAGGATTTCTGGGACTGTTGCTTGGGTTGTTGCGTCTTCCGCGCAAAACCAAGCAGCGATTCCCAAAGGGCAATGACTTGCTGGCTCGCAGGGAAAGAATTGGAACACACCAATTCCAGTTTGTCAACCCTGGAGTAACAATAATCCTGATGGATTCCAGAGCGTTTTTCCCAAAAGTGACAGACCACGGGTTCAAAAAAGCCCGATTTCCCATTCAACCTCTGGTTTCCTTTGAGAGCCTCCCTTTCATTCCCAAAAACCCAGCAAGTAAGCGAGGAGCTACATGAAGGCCATTGAACCGAACAATTGAAAGAGACGACCGTACCCCGGAAATCTAGGTGTCCTTTTGGCTGAAAATCGACGGATTCCACTGGTTTCAGCTTGGGTCTAAGCACCTATAAGTGCCATCTACTTCTCCAAAGGAGCACACAGCCTGGTGATGTTGACCCCGGAACCTGACGGATGATGGGAGGGTTGGGCTTCCCCAAAAATCAGGATCTCTAAAATAAGACACCCCCCAACATGAATTTCAAGGGGATTATGAATCCTGAGCTCTCATCACGAGGGGGCCGAAAGGAGGCTTTTTCAAAATGATAGGAGGACACCGAAATTATGGGTTCTGATTTTGGTTCCCTTTCAACCAATCTACAATTCCCTTCAAAAAACACACACACACACAGATGGTTCCTTCCTATTTCACGGGGTTTTTGCGACTTGCCCCAGGAGGGGACTGTCCTGGCCATGTACAAGGCGCCTGATTTCGGGGTGTCTCAAAACGGGGCCCCCTTTTTGAATGGACTTAACTGGAAGGTAAGAGGAAACCAGGCCGGGCGTATATGATGTTTGAGATACACCCTGTTTCACCGCTGGGATTTGAAGCCCTGGTTCTAGCAAGCCAAACACTCCGGAGGTTGAATTTTGGACCGGGGTTTTGGTTCATTCCCCCAAAAGGAGAACTCTTGGGTTTACGTCTATTTTGGGGTAGCCAAAAAGTGGAACCCTGCTTGCCATAGTTGGAAGAGTATACCCTGGCTTCAACAGGTGCAACCGACTTGTGGTAACAAAGGTGTCAGCCGTGCTTGTCACTGGGAAGCACTCGCCAGCTTACAGGCATTGGCCACTGGCCATCGCCTGCAAATAATTCACTCATCCCAGGCGGCAGATGTTGATACGGACCGACGTGGCAAGCGGAGGGCAAGAGTGCTTGGCGCAAGAATCATAGAGAACCCTGAATCGTGAAGCAAAAGGCAAAACTGTAGCAGAGAGTCCTTAATCAATCAGCTGGTGATTGGTTCAGTGGACTAAAATCTACCAAACATCCCCCTCAACACCCTCTATGGTGATTGCAGTGTTGTGCGAACAGGTCAGGAAGGGGGTTCAACGCTTCCAGGGAACATGGGACCATTTCAAAATGGCTTCGATCGGACGTGGGCACATTTTGTTTGTCTCGTGGCCGGGCCCCCTTTCACCCGGGTTTCCTTATATGGGTTTCTCAAGATGCATTTCAGACCCAAGGGGCGGGTTTTCTAGGGAAGCTTTCCAAGGAACCAGCCCCATTTTGGGTTCCAGAGTCAACTGCCCAAGTTTTTGGAGAAAGCCCGGTCCGAATGGCCAAGGAAAACTTAGTCTACGACCGGTAGTGTATTCCAAGCAAATGTAGCAACATTCGTACCCAGGCGTAATCGTGGCGTTTCCACATGGAACAGGTCTGAAGGACTTTTCACCAACCAAGTTGGCTCCGGAAGTCCCTGCTACCTGCGCAACATGGACTTGAAAAAAGAAAGAGATGCAAGGTATTCCTCTTCTTTGTGGCCCTTATAAGGTGGGTTCCACGAGCATTTGCCACAGGCCTCAATTAATTCTTGAACCGTTCAAGTTGCTTTTGCTCTAGCCATTCCAGGGATTGGAGTGGTGGGGGCATGTGACGCGAAGCCAATCGCGCTCGGGACAAAAGCAGAGAACCGGCCGGAAGTTCATCCCTGCCAAGTGATTTCCTGTTGTTGCCAAGTTGTGACTTGCCCTGTTTGCAATGGTGCCACAAGAGCTCTTTTTCTCAGGGGAAGGAACCATCAGGTTGGGTTGAACTGCAAGTGTTTCAACTAAGGTTTTGAGAGGTTGACCCGGCCAACCCTCAACCCCGGGGCCGAGCCAGCCCAACGTGGGCGCGCTACAACGGGCGCGCTACGGGCGCAGGTGGGAGATCCTTCGAAGTGGTGGGACTGCAAGGCTGAGAGCCAGGCGCGTTGCCAGACTTGCCGTCGCGTCGCGGTGGTTTAAGCATGTTTAAGGTTGAACTGGTCCCTACGGAAAATGGTCTGGAAGAGAACCCAAGGTGACATGGCACCGGGAGGTCGAAACACCCAAACTCGGAACCCAATTTGCAAACGAGCCGTTGTCCCCTTTCTGGGAACCAGGAGTCTGCTGTTTTGCGAAGGGTCCTTTGTCAAGCATGGATCCAGACCGGAGGACAAGGGCATGCCTGAAAATCGGTTGGACCCTGCGAAGGGTTTGAAGGATGTTGAGAAACACGAGTTTGGTTTCTGGTAAAGTCAGGGCTGCTGGGTTCGTTCTACCAGACTCATTGGAAGGTGACTTTGAACAAAATCTTACGGACAGGTTTAGGGATCTAAACACAACCCACTTTACAGCAGCACGGTGCTTTTTGATGGATGCGTGTTCGGCTCCTTTTGGAAAGGGGGGTGGGTGGGTTGCATATATTTGGGTCATGTCTTTTTCTCCGGAGGTCGGGTGGGGGTGTGCAACTCATGGGTGGGTTCCTTTTTTTCCCTTCCATGAAACCCCAAAAACGGTGTCCGCCACACCCGTGGATGTGACCCATGAATGAGGGCCCTTTGGTGGACATCATTTAGGGGATTTGGTGTCCATGAACCCACTTTTCCGGGACCTTCCGTTTGAAAGTCAGCTTTCTGTGTGTGTGTGTGTGTGTGTGTGTGTGTGTGTGTGTGTGTGTGTGTGTGTCTGTGTGTGTGTGTGTGTGTTTCCGTTTGGAAGGTGTCATGGTCACCTTGGTTTGAAGGAAAGCCAGAACGGTAAATAACCATGTGTTGTGGGTGACCTACTTTGACACGTATCCGGTTGGAGCCCTCACCAAAAAGGAGGTTTCACTTCAATCATCTTCGGCTTGGAATTTTGCATGTAAGAATACGAAGGAAAAGCTTGAGATTGTGAGCATTTCCAAGTTTCCTCAGCCTTTAACAGCCTCACCAATGCAATGGTTTATCTGACGCTGAGTGAACATGATATCTTTGAAATAAGGATTCCCCAAGGCTCCATCTTGAAATGCCTCTGCATGCCATGATCGGGGTTGAGACATCCATTCAATTGCTTCTTTTGGTGATAGGCCAAGTCGGGAAAGATATCCTACTGTGGATGGACGAGATCCTGCACTACCCAAGAAACCGGAATGATGATTGCCCTGTAAATACCAGCAAACAGTATGGTTTGGCGTGGTTTCAAAGAGTTGTCCAGAAGCCCCTCTTGCCCTGTTATGCCTTGAGCGAGACACGCCGCTCAAGGCCCTGCCTTGCGAAACGGCACTCGGTCGACGCTCGAAACAAAAAAGGCAGCGCTGGTGAAAAGTGGGTCAAGACCCCTTTGGGCATGGTGTTTTTTGAACTGGAATGCCAGCCCTGGGGAAAAATGCAAAAAACCTGGACTTGGAAAAACACACACAGCTCTACCGGATTTTCGAGCCAATGTTTCGGAGAAGCCCAAGCATTGAGCATATGATCGAACCCAGCCCTGCGCTCACCAGCCATCCATATCCGAGAATCCTAGCCCATTTGCCTCTCGGCGAAAAGGGAGCTTTGTGCCTTTGAGAGTACCATGTTTATGGCTGTTAGAAGAGAAAACAAATGGAACACCGCTGCTTTTGGGGGTCCCCCTTCAAAAAAACAAAACAAAACAAAAACAAAACAAACCACGCCCGTATGTCATAAGTTTTCTCCTCTGTAAGAGTGGTCATTGTTTTCTCTGAATTGTGGAACCCGAGGTATTCCTTACGCAAGTCCAGAAGTGCCCAAGACACAGCCGGGTTTTGGACAATCTCCGACCAACCTAACTGGTCGACCCACAATGGCTTCTCAAATGGACTATTCTCCTAATATGAGTGTGTCGTTTGAGCGTGGGGCTTTGTTTGAGGGGCTGTCGAGGAAGCCCTGTGCTCTTAGGGGTCGAGCAAGGGCGAAGCTGAAGCAACCACCTTCAATAAACAAGTGTCATTTTCGCGGGGAAGTCTGAAGTCTAACCCAGCCAAACGGTTCCTTTTACCTCTTTGGGGGAGGGTTCCCCTACTAAAATAGACTACAGAAAGAAGAAAAAAAGCAAACTCGGGTACCCTTATTAAAAACCTCTCTACTGGAGGGCCTTTTCGTCTTTGGCCTCGGGGCTTTTCGTCTTCGAGGAGCCGCGCTGCGGGGACGGCCTCGTCTCGGGCCTCGAGGAGGGCGCGCTGGGGCGGTGAAGGGAGAGTTCCAGCCAACAGCTGAGATCCGGCTTTATATTTATTTCCTGGCGTGGTGCTGGGTCAACCATTTTAATGCCGGGTTTTTGTGTGACTCACCTCTCGTGCTCCAGTCGATGCAGGAGTGCGAGTTAGAGAAGCCTGGGTGCTCCGTGACCTGTGAGGCGAGCGTCTGGGTGGGGCTTTTTCTCTCCCAGCCGATGACTTCACTATGCCATGGGCCACAGGAAGCGGGCAACCACCAGTTGCGCGCAGCCGTGCATCGCAAGCTGTGATTTGTGGTGGCTTGCGCCTTCCATGTTTTTTTCCCCCAACAGCTGAAAGCACCGGGGGGGGGGGGGGGTTGATAGGCCCAAGGCTTGGAGTCGGGCAACTTAGTTGGCGAGCTTGTTGGGGGTAAACTCATGGCAATCTTATTTTCTAGAAACATGGGGAGGGCAGTGCGTGTATGTATATGAGTTGACATTGTGTGTCCTGTCTATAGTGTTGATTCACGAATTTCCGCGTCGTCGCAGAAAGCTGCCAACCGGCAGCCCGGCTTGAAGCAGTTGACATTCGACTCACGGACTGCCCAACTTGCGGATTCCTTAACAAATCCAACACTGCAGACACTTTGAACGAAACCGGGAATGCGAAATATCTGAAGGCTTGGGAAGAGAGGACCGTGTGCGTGTGCGTGTGCGTGTGCGTGTGCGTGTGCGTGTGCGTGTGCGTGTGCGTGTGCGTGTGCGTGCGTGTGCGTGTGCGTGTGCGTGTGCGTGTGCGTGTGCGTGTGCGTGTGCGTGTGCGTGTGCGTGTGCGTGTGCGTGTGCGTGTGCGTGAGCGTGTGCGTGTGCGTGTGCGTGTGCGTGTGCGTGTGCGTGTGCGTGTGCGTGTGCGTGTGCGTGTGCGTGTGCGTGTGCGTGTGCGTGTGCGTGTGCGTGTGCGTGTGCGTGTGCGTGTGCGTGTGCGTGCGTGTGCGTGTGCGTGTGCGTGTGCGTGTGCGTGTGCGTGTGCGTGTGCGTGTGCGTGTGCGTGTGCGTGTGCGTGTGGGTGTGGGTGTGGGTGTGGGTGTGGGTGTGCGTGCGTGGGCGTGGGCGTGGGCGTGGGCGTGGGCGTGGGCGTGGGCGTGGGCGTGGGCGTGGGCGTGCGCGTGCGCGTGCGCGTGCGCGTGCGCGTGCGTGCGTGCGTGGGTGTGGGTGTGGGTGTGTGTGTGTTTGTGTGTGTGTGTGTGGGTGTGTGCGCGCGCGCGTGTGCGTGTGCGTGTGCGTGTGCGTGTGCGTGTGCGTGTGCGTGTGCGTGCTCGTGCGCGTGCGCGTGCGCGTGCGCGTGTGGGTGCGCGTGCGCGTGCGCGTGCGCGTGCGCGTGTGGGTGCGCGGGCGCGTGTGGGTGCGCGTGCGCGTGCGCGTGCGCGTGCGCGTGCGCGTGCGTGCGTGCGTGCGTGTGTGTGTGTGTGTGTGTGTGTGTGGGTGTGTGGGTGCGTGCGTGCGTGCGTGCGTGCGTGCGTGCGTGCGTGCGTGCGTGCGTGGGTGTGTGTGTGTGTGTGTGTGTTGGGGTTCGCGAGGCTTTGGGATCAAATTTCCTATCCTGTCAGCATCTCATTGAGGAAGTGTGTTGACCGGTTGTGCAACAGAACTGATTAACTTATTTGATGAGGGAAAAATGATGGTTGTTTTCGGACCACGGAAAGCGCGGAATCGATGGAACCATGAGGTCCCCCTCACCAAACATCTTTCGTTTTTTCCTAGCCAACCGTGTGTGAGCAACAACTTCCATCCAGGTTCTCGGGTGAAACCCAAAGGCTTTGTTTCGTCATGGCAAAGAGATTGGGGGTGACATATTTTTTGAGGGGTCCTTTTTTGACATCCAAACACCTGCTCGTCACAAAGGGAGCTATTTCAGGTGAGCAATCAAAACCGGGTGTATGAAGGTGAGTAAGCGGTAGTCCCAACCATAAATGGTTGAGCACAGTTTCGGGATCCACCGTTTTGATACCGCTCGGTTTTGATTACGGGTGTCACGTTTTTTAGGGCCCCCCCAAATGGGTGGTTTACTTTTGGTGTCCCTTTCAAGGAAAAGGTGTACTTGGTACCAAAAAAAAGGATCGAGACAGGTGACCTGTTGCGTGCTTCAGGTGGAGGAGGGTTGGACCTGCGGGCTCCACTCCTGCGAGCCTCTCTGCGGGGACGGCGTGACGCAGACGGGCGAGGCGCGCCGCCGTTTTTTTAATATATGAGTTGTTTGCTTTTTTTTGGGATAATACTGTATCTTTTTCATTTGCTTTGTTTTTTCAAGGTCGGATCTGGGGTCCCCAGCCCGGGGCCCGGGGCCCGGGGCCCGGGCCGGGTATCTCGAAACGATCCAGTTGCCCGCAACCAACAAGAACCAAATTGGCCTCGTTTGACACCCTTTTGGGGTTGGTCGGGATGGGCACGGACCCTTGCTATTCATTCGTAACTGTGAGGGTTCCTATCAACATCATCTTCAGTTTTGACCAGCATCTGCAGCGTGTAAAGGGGATGGCATGAATGTATGCAGCGATTAGGATGTGGGGTGTCTTAAAGCAAGATGAGGGGCTATACAACGGTTAACTTTCTTGTGCTGTGATCAGGACTTAACTAGATTTTCTGGTGCGCAAAGTGGTTTGAACATGACTAGTTAGGAGTTATCATGGTTGTCCTTATAACCTTTTCATTTGGGTTGGTTTAAGCATCCGAATCAGACGGATGCCCTGATATGTTGTCCCTTTTCGGATGGTCTGACTCGCTTACGATCAATGCGAGTGGACCGGATCAAATCGACACTTTGGCTTGCCAACTTTGGTCAAGTTGGCTTGCCACATTTGGTCTAATATAACCTGCATAGGTTCACTGTGTTTGTTTAATCTTATGACCATGACTCATTTTTATGTTAGTTTAATTTGGCATCGATGATACGATAGTAAAGGCTTCGACAGTGAATACTTTGTTTCCATGGTCCTTCCACAAATGAGTTAGTCATTGATTTAGTTTCCCTTTGGCGGGCTGATGTTCGAAGGGGAGCTTGCAGGAACCCTGAAACCTGACTTGAGGGGCCTGGGCAGCATGGAGGATCCCCCGTAGGGATTTCCCTATGACAAGCAAAGGGAAAGCACCGAAAAGGGGAAGCTGAAGCTTGGGCCTCGAGGTGGATCCTGTGATCCCTTATGCAATGGACTTGTCTGACTTGAGCCAACGCATGCTTTCGAGCTTTCAACTTTGCTTTTGTGCTTGGCGTTGTGACGAACAGCAACTGTTCACAACTTAAACTTGCACGACGTCATTTGAAGCATCCGAATAGACAAAGGTCGGGAGGACAGTGTGCGAGAACTCGAGAAGATTGCTGGAAGGCCTCTTCAATTCATGGGTGGGTGGGTTGTCAAGGTGTTTATTTTTTTGGCATCCCTCTAATGGCGGCGCCTTGTGGCGACACCAAGGAACGAAAGGGAAGGGCCCGTCCAAAACGACAACCCCTGACAGTTGCTCAGTTTGTTGCGGAGCAGAACCGCCCCTCCTCCAGTGTTTGCAGTTCACCACGGATGCTCCCAAAGATGAAGCTACGGAACCCTCGGGGGGAACGGGCCGGATTGTGTGTCATAAGGTGTCCACTGAGCTTGTAGACTGCTGGGATAGTTTCCTGTCCCGAATCTCCTAAAAGCATTGGTGCTTCCTTCACTTTTGGCACCTTGGTGGTTTGGCAGCCTCTTCTTCGTTTGCCGGATTTTCAAAGGAAGCCATTGAAATCAGGAAGCCGGCAGTTTCTTTCCTTGGAGTTTGCGATGCGGCCAGGTATGTGATGATGGCAGCAACGACCAGTACGGGGGTTGCTCCAACGACTGCAGCTTCCCCACCCGGCGGGACTATTTGGCCTTCCACCACGGCTGCGAAGGGCCTGAAGGCCAAAAGCAACGGGCCAGTGGATTCAGTGGATTCCACCCTAAAGAAGGGGTTCTGTTGAACATCAACCAACATGGGTGCCGATTCTTCCCCCCCGAAATGCCACTGAGATACTGTGGATCAGCGTCATGGAGGGAACCTTTGCTTCACCCACCCACCAACCAACCCACCCACCCACCCACCCACCCCCAACCCACCCACCCACCCACCAACCCAACCAACCAACCCACCAAACCACCAACCCACCAACCAACCAACCAACCCACCAACCAACCAACCCACCAACCCAGCAACCCGCCAACCCGCCAACCATCCATACATCCAGCCAGCCAGCCAGCCAAATGACCGACTGCCAGCCAAACAAACCAGCCAGCCAGCCAACCAACCAAGCACGGGTGGGTGTGGGGTGGGTGGGTGGGTGGGTGGGTTGGTTGGTGGGTTGGTGGGTTGGTGGGTTGGTGGGTTGGTGGGTTGGTGGGTTGATGGGTTGGTGGGTTGGTGGGTTGGTGGGTTGGTGGGTTGGTGGGTTGGTGGGTTGGTGGGTGGGTGGGGTGGTTGGTTGGTTGGTTGGTTGGTTGGTTGGTTGGTTGGTTGGTTGGTTGGTTGGTTGGTTGGTTGGTTGGTTGGTTGGTTGGTTGGTTGGTTGGTTGGTTGGTTGGTTGGTTGGTTGGTTGGGTTGGTTGGTTGGTTGGTTGGTTGGTTGGTTGGTTGGTTGGTTGGTTGGTTGGTTGGTTGGTTGGTTGGTTGGTTGGTTGGTTGGTTGGTTGGTTGGTTGGTTGGTTGGTTGGTTGGTTGGTTGGTTGGTTGGTTGGTTGGTTGGTGGTTGGTTGGTTGGTGGGTGGGTGGTTGGTTGGTTGGTTGGTTGGTTGGTTGGTTGGTTGGTTGGTTGGTGGGTTGGTGGGTTGGTGGGTGGTGGTTGGTTGGTTGGTTGGTTGGTTGGTTGGTTGGTTGGTTGGTTGGTTGGTTGGTTGGTTGGTTGGTTGGTTGGTTGGTTGGTTGGTTGGTTGGTTGGTTGGTTGGTTGGTTGGTGGGTGGGTTGGGTTGGTTGGTTGGTTGGTGGTTGGTTGGTTGGTTGGTTGGGTTGGTTGGTTGGTTGGTTGGTTGGTTGGTTGGTTGGTTGGTTGGTTGGTTGGTTGGTGGGTTGGTGGGTGGATGGGTGGGCGGGCTTGGTGGGTGGGTGGGTGGGTGGGTGGGTGGGTGGGTTGGTTGGTTGGTTGGTTGGTGGGTGGGTGGGTGGATGGGTGGGTGGGTGGGTAGGTTGGTGGGTTGGTTGATTGGTGGATTGTGAGTTTGGTGGGGTTGGTGGGTTGGTGGGGTGGGTGGGTTGGTTGGTGGGGTGGTGGGTTGGTTGGTTGGTTGGTTGGTGGGTTGGTGGGTGGATGGGTGGTTGGTTGGTGGGTTGGTGGGTGGATGGGTGGGTGGGTGGGTTGGTGGGTTGGTTGATTGGTGGATTGGTGGGTTTGGTGGGGTTGATGGGTTGGTGGGTTGGTGGGTTGGTGGGTGGGTTGGTGGGTTGGTGGGTTGGTGGGTTGGTGGGTGGGTGGGTGGGTGGGTGGGTTGGTTGGTTGGTTGGTTGGACTTTCTTGCGGCAATCACTGGAATCTTACAAGCGTGCTGAATCTGTGCTGGTTGTGTAAGAAACAAATGCCAGCAAGGCTAAAGCCATTCCAACCACCACCGCAGTCCAATATGCCCTGGGGTAGAATCAGGATACATTTGACATTTTCCCAGTGACTCCATGTGAAGCAAACAACAAAATATACATCCTATAAGTGGACCTATCTCTAGTAATCATGGCTCCTTGGGGCCTTTTGCCAGACTACGCCATCAAGATCCAAGAGATGAGACGTCCCGACGTCACCGCGTGCCGGCGCCTCTGCACCGCGAACGAGGACTGCTCCGCCGCGGAGTGGCGCGACGACCGGGGCGTCGGGGGCTGCCGGCACTTTGTGGGGCGAGTGCCAGCGGCCTTCGGCCACGACGCTTCGGCAAGGAGTCTCCACATATGTTTTCTGGGGTGAGGTGGGGTGGGGTGGGGTGGGGTGGGGTCGGGGGGTGGGTGGGGTGGGGGGTGGGGGGCCGGAACCTCCCCCTTCAGGAGCCATCTTTCCGGAAGAGCCGCAAAAACACCGTAAAACAAGGACTGGTCCTGAAGAAGAATGGAAATTGACGTCCTCGTGGTTTGCCTTGTTTTTTAAAAGACCAACGGCTGCCTTGTGGCGAAGGGTTTCCTGGGGGCAACTGGGATCTGGATTGGCACCCGGCAAGGCACTCGTTTGGAGGCTATCTATGGGCTATGGGCTATGGGGAGGGCGATATCCTTTAATGCCGTACTAAGGCCTCATTTGAGGGCTTGGCTTCTCCTTTGGAGATTTGGCCCATCGATTTTCGAGCTTGTGAAGGAAAGCAGCTCAAAGTCCAAGGCTTGGGCGGCGAACTACAGCGGACTTCCCCTCAGTTTGGTAGTTGCAAGCCTCTTACTGAATTAACTTCAACATCAAGAAAGCAGACACAAACGGGTGTTTCTACAAAACAGGAATTGGCACATGTCCTATAGTGTCAAGGGCTTCTTCCTTTCTGTTTTGCAACAATACCAGCCACAAGTGAATCCATTAGGTGTCGTTGGGATTAAGGGCACTCCAGCCACTTTTCGGGATCAAATTTTGAGGTGGTTCCCTCTTGGGGACTCCCATTTTCCCAAAGCCCTCGATCCCCTGAGAACTATCGAGTGAATCAGTTGATGTACTATCAGAGACTCGTTGAGCTGAGCAAAGCGGGAGCTGGGTCTTTGATGGTGGGTTGGAAAATCTCCTGTTTCATGTTCGTACATTGTCTCGGAGCTCAGGAGATCCGGCCTCAACGAGCTCGGGTTCGAATAAACGGGTTCCCAGCCCCTAGCGTCTAAAAGGAATCCATGTGTACTCAGTTTGGGTCAGTTGTACTCCTTGTTCAGGGGATCCATTTAGATGCGAGCCCATTTCCTATTTCTGGTTTTGTAACTCTTGCAGAGTGTTCACGTTGTTTTCTGTGGGGCCACTCACTTGAGCACAGATAGCCGAGCGCAATCAACGGGTAGTCTTTTGTCCGTCTGGGAGGGACATTCCGAGAGCATTGCCAGGTGGAACAGAAACATGTTTTTGTCCAGGGCCGCAAGCTGTCGGCTTGGCCTGAGTCACCAGGGCTGGCATTTTTGTGGGTCGGACTTGGGCGTGTTTTTTTTTGGTTTCGCTGAGGACGGGCAGGACACGGGCGCCGCGTGCCTCGTGAAGGTGAAGTACGCTTTGTTCGCGGCAAACATCAAGAGCGCAAAGCAGGCAAGAGCCAGGCGAACGGGACGTTTTGCTTGTCCGGTGCTTTTTCTGCCTGGATGTCAATTTTGGATTATTCTGGAGGACTTCGCGCATCGGCGGGGGGGGGGGGGATTGTGTTTGAGATTCCTCCGATTGGCATGGTCCTCTGGATTAATCTGCAGTTAGCATTGGCCTTAGAGGAAACCTCACACAAAACACAGTGCATGCTTTCTATATTGCAAGCAACGGGTTTCCTTGTTCCCTTTCTTGCAGGATTGAGGGCATCCACAATAACGATTGCCTTGGGTGAATGGGTCCACACATGCTTATCCTGTGGCGCATTTGATCGGAAGCATTAATTAGAACCCGTCTAGGGT